GCCCTCAGCCGCCATATCAGGTGGCTGGCACCATGGCAACCATGCCAGGTGCCTTCCTCTGCCCTTTGTGGGCACACTACTTACATGTACATACACACACATATGCACATACATTTTTTTTAAAACATCACAGATAAGCAAGGTGTTGGATATGCTAATTGGCTTGAATTAACCATTTCACATTGTAAACTGATATCAAGTCATCACAGTGTGCCCTGTAAATATATAAAGTTAGGATCTGTCAAAAAAAAAAGGTTAAAAATGTAAAGACATAAAGATGATGAGATTGAAATGTATTATGGTCTACCTCTATTGTCATCTAATTCTTGCCTATCTGTTAGTGATGAAGGGTGAATTGCTGGGCACCACACTATCCTGTTTGGATACTTGGGATGGGAGTGGACGGCACCACAAAAGGTGCCAAGCACAAGTGTCCATGGGGAGATGTCCATCCCCTTCTCTTTGGCCTTGGTTTCTGGAAGTGAAACACTAGAAAGTTCTCCTAACTATCAGGATCCTAACTCTTGCTCCTCCTGAATGTTTCTGTTGTAACAACCAAGTCTGGAATCTAGCTTATACTAGCATACAGTGTAGCAGTTCCATTGTGGTATTTTAAAAGCAAAACTGACTTTGTTTCTGTTACTTCTTCTCCCCTATTCTCCCGGGCACTCTTCTTCCCTCTTCCCTCCTCCCATCTGCAGCAGCCACCTTATGTGTCCTGTGCATCTTTGAGCTTTCCTGACCCTTCCGTCCTTCCTTGATAACGTTCTCCTATCTAGTCTCATAGTTTGTAATTCTTCTCCCATCCCTTTATTTACATACTGTAAATATTAAAAGTCAGGATCGATGGTGGCTTGGATGAGATGCCCCCCACAGTCTCGGTATTTTGGAAAAATTTAGGTGATGTGGCCTGGCTACAGAAAGTATGTTGTTTGAGGCAGGCTTTGAAATAAAAAGCATTATACCACTTGTCTTTTGTTGCAGTTGTTGGCGTCATTGTTTTCTCTGCTCGGTGCTTGCAGTAAAGGATGGAGTTCCCAGCTTCCTGCTCTGGCCACGCCGGCTGTCCGTGGCTGGCTGCCGAGCCGTGCCTCCCCACCACAATGGACTCATCCCTGGGAACTATAAGCCCAAACTCTCTCATCCTTAAATTGCTTTGGTTGTGGCCTTTATCACAGCAACAGGAAAGTAACTGATATAGGATCTGCATATGAGAATATGTGATTTTTGTCTTTCTGAGTCTGGGTCATGCCACTTAATATAAACTCTCCAGATTCATCCATCTCTCACAAATTTCAGTTTTCTTTAACATCTGAGTAATATACCAATTGTTTTATAGGCCACATTCTCATTATCCACTCTTCTATTGATTGACACCTAGGCTAATCCCGTTTCCTGGATGTCACAAATATAGCAGCAATAAGCGTGGAGCTACAGGCTTCTCTCTGGTAGGATATGAAATGCTCTGGGTTTTTGTATTCAGGGCATATCATAGCCCTATTTTGAATTTTTTGAGGACCATTTCCACACACACCCCCGGCAGTGATTCAAGGGTCCCCCATCCTTACATCCTTGCCAACATTTAGGGTCATTATTTTTATGATGTGAGCCATTCTGACTGGGGTGAGAGTGAACTATTAAAGTGGTTTTAATTTGCATTTCTCTACTGGTTAAGGATGTTTAGGGCTTTTAAAAATATTTTTGTCCATTTCTGTTTCCTCTTTAGTTAACTTCATTTCATTATCCCATTTCTCAATAGATGCTTCATTTTTATTGTTTAATTCTTTCAATTCTTTATATACTGTAGAATCAACCTCCTTGTTGAAGTATAGCTGAATTTTGTCTGAAGTACAGCAAAAACTTTCCCCCACTCTGTGGGTTGTGTGTTTGTTCTGAGGATGGTTTTCTCTGATGTGAAGAAACATTTTAATCTCACGTCACCCCATTTGTTATTCTTGGGCCCATCTCCTGTGCTGCTAGAGTCCTGTTCAGAACAGTCCTCACTGTGCCTATGACTTGAAATGTGTTCCCTACATTTTCCTCTGGCAGTTCTGGTGGTTCACATTTTAAATGGAGGACGTTGATCCACTTTGAATTGCTGTATCTCTAGGATGAGAGCGGCTGATCTAATTTCATTCTGTTGTGTGGCATATCCAGTCCTGCCAGGACCGTGTATTAAACGGTCTTTCTCCCCCTGTGCGCTTCTGATGCCTTCATGTGGGTGAAATCTTGGGCCTCTCTGGACACCTCAGCCCCACACCATTCTGTCCCACTGATGTGACTTCACACCGGCCTCCACCTCTGCCCCGTGTCAACACTGAGTCATCGGTGTCTGGACTTGCCTCTTGACTGCCGCGGCTTCTCAGCCTCGCATCTCCACACTGCCTTTTACTTAGGCAGCAAAAAGTCAAAGCTGACTTTTTCCCATGATAAAAATCTTTTCTATTTTCCTCAAGACAGAGTTGAAAATCCTCAAGCTCAATTAAAGCTTTACTTTCTCCACACAGACGTAGAAGCCGGAGGACAACTTGCAGAAGCATCTTTTCTTCTTCCTGTTACAGCCAGCCTTAGTGGCAGGTGCCTTCACCCACCAAGCCATCTCGCTGGCTCTTACATTTTTTAAACCTTTCCATTTTGATGGGGGAGAGGTTTGTCAAAATTTTAGTTGTCAAAATTTGTATATTTCTTACCTCATTTACCTGGTTACTACTGAAGTTAAATATTTTGGTGTGTCATTTTGGCTTTTCTCCCTTTTATCTCAGATTTCTCGCTGAAATATTTATCATGTCTCTATACCTTCATTGTGAAGATACGCGTGTGTGTGTGTGCGTGTGTGCATACAGGCTGAATACCAATTTATGCACATACTGATATATACTTCAGCAAGTATATTAATAATGTAATTCTTATGACCTTCCTTCATTGTATATGCTACAAACATTTTCATATATCTGTGTTTTACTTCATATATTTTTATGCAGATGTCATTTTTATTAATTCTTTGAGAGTTTCATATGATGTAGTTTGGTAACATGCATACCCCTCCTCTAACTCCTCCCAGACCAACCCTCCCTTGCCAATAGCTCCTCAGCTAGGGGTAGGGTTTTGTGCCCACCTCCCCTATCAATGCTGGAGTTTGGACTGGTTTGAGCCTGCATGGTCTTGTTTAAGTGGTCAGAACCACTGCAAGTTCGTGCAGCGAACACTGCGGTGTGTGTCTGGAAAAGCATCTCCTGGCCGTCATCCACTGCCTCCGACATCCCTCCTCTGCACTGATCCATTTCAATGTAGTTAGGGGATAAATATTCTCTTTATGGCTTCTTCTTTTGACCATACGCTTGCATTCCCCTAGCCTGCCACATGTGCTTTTGAGACCTTTCCATTCCAATGTATCTCAAGTCACTGGAAGACTTACAAGGAGGGATGAGAGAAGCCCAAGGAAATTCTACTTCCAGGAGGAAGTCATTAAACAGGTTTGTTCCAAATAAATCCCAAATATATGAATAAAAGAAATACACGGAACTTGAAGAAAATGTCACCAGACTTCCTGGAAGAGACAGTCAGTGATCACTCACTTTGTCTTTGGAGCCTTGAGGCAAAAAGAACAGGGCAACCAGTGCCATCCACAACCTCCAGGTGAACAACAGCCAGCAGGGTGACACCGACCTTCATTGGTCACTTTTAAATGTGACTAATGGCTAACAGAAGAGAATCTGTTGCTCTGTCGGCTGCTCTAGGTATGCTCGCCCCAGCGAGGTCAAGGCCAGTTAGAGCCTTTTCACCAGATGTTCTTGTGGGAAATCTCAAATACAGAAAAAAAAAAAGACAGAATCGCACAATCATCTGTCCTCCCTGATGACCTTTTCCCAATTTAAAAATTGCTCCGGTCACTCTTACCCCCTGCCACCCTGTCCCATCTAGACCTCCTGAGGCAAACACCGAGCATCCCATCCACAAACATCTCAGGATGTTCCTTTAGGGATGCCATTCCCTTTAGAGCTGGGAAGCCCGAGGGTTGCTACTTGAACTTTCAGCCTCTTCGTATTTCCCAGCGGACCTTGGTCCTCCTGTTCGCGTCCCCTCTGTGTTTGACATCCCGCTCTAGCGTGGCTGTCTCAGAAATAGCTCTCCCCGAAGCCAGGGAGCTTCTCATCACCACGGGTCCTCGCTGCGGGAGGGCCGGCTCCAGAACATATTGCCACCACTGTCGATACTCTCAGACCCTTCTGCAAAATGGAGGGGTTTCTGCACATAGCCTCCCTCCATCTCCATGTCCCTTAAGTCATCGGTGACTCATTAACTCCCACGACAAAGTGCATGATGTGTGAGAAGCTATTATATCGCATGGTTAGGAAGTAATGGGGAAATGTGCATGCTCAGTGTAGATGTCACTTTTGATGTAAGATTGGCTGAAGCCATAGATGAAGAGTTCACAGACACCAAGGGCCAGCTGGACCTAAGGGGACATGCATGGCCTCGGCCACATATACCCTACCTACCACACTCTCACACTAGAGGCTCTTTTTCTTCCCCGGGAGTATGACCATTTCAAATCCAGCCCCCACACACGCCTCCTCTCTCCTTGCTTGTGGTGGCTTTTATAATAGAGAAGGTGTCATTTAACTTGGGAAAAGAAACGGCCTCATCTCTCTGGCGAAGCCCTCCCTCTTCCCCCGTCCTTTGTCCCTAGGTCCCTGGATGCCCACTCGTTCTCTGGGGAGCTTTCAACAGCTCTGCAGCTCCACACGTCCCCACAGCAGCAAGGGGCTACAAACTGCCAGCTCAGCGAAGGCCAGTTCCTCCCGCTCCAGAAGGGAGGGATGAGTGAGGGTCCCCACTTCTCTCCCTCATGTACTGCCTCTACATATACCTTCTTCCAAGACAAATACCTCTTCTACAATGGCTCAAAAAATTAAAGCAGGTCATTTTTTATATGAGTAGAAAATAAAAAAAATCATCTGGAGCGGGGGGAGGGGCACCCAAACAATCCATCACATTACCTCATCGAAGACCTTGGAGGCAACATGCTTATTCAGGATGGGGACATAGGTGGCATTGTGGGGCACTGCCGTTCCAGCCAAGGCATCCATGATGGTGAGTTTCTTGGCCACGAGGCTGTGGGTTTGGAGCCAGTTTTCAGAGGACATGTCTGCAGAGCTGAAAACACAAGACCCTAGAATTTAAAACCTGCAACTTAGTCATTCACAAACAAAACCAGAACAAAATGTCCGCCTTGGATTAAAGCACTCACGTGTGGTCAGTAACGTGGCTTCCATTTCTGGCGAGTCTCTCAGACAGTTTGTCATCTAGGTGCTTATTCATCCACAGGATGCTCATTTCTGTGGAGTGAGACGGCAGCCATGTATATCGGGGCTGACTTCAAGGATCCATCACTCTTGCTCAGATGGAGGGCTAATGGCAGCCCACACCTCAGAGGCCATAGTTTAACCCACCGGAGCAGGCTTTCAGGCAAAATGCATTAGCCGCTTCTACTGCAGCCCCGGGCCTAGGTGACACAGCCCTGCCTTACCCACTTGCTCCCCACCCCCCACGCGGTGAGCGCTCTCTCCACAGAAGAATCAGATGCACACGCAGTCCCTTTCTTCAAAACGTTTAACAAGACTACGATTTACCAGCGATGGCTCAGCATCAGGCCCCCCACAACTACTAGCGGAGGGATTTGATCGACATTTTCGATTTGGACACTTCAGCTTAGTGTGGGAAACCAAAGACTGTTAGAGTCAGTGGAATCGTTAAGTTCAAATTTTGAAATTAGTATTTGGGGTTTTAAATGTATATCCTTCTGTAGCCTTGGCTCTCTAAATGGAAAGGAGTAGGTCCTTCACTGAGTTAGCAGCAGCTAGGGCAGCAGGCGAGGTGTGTGTTGGTGAAGTGCCTAGGAAACCGTGTTCTAGTTGACATGTGCTAAGTCCCATAATGAATGGACTTATATGTGCATGTTAGGCAGCTGAGGACATGCAAGCTAGTAGGCTGCATGTGGCTGGCTGAGGACATACAAGCTAGCAGGCTGCATGTGGCTGGCTGAGGACATGCAAGCTAGCAGGCTGCACGTGGCCAACTGAGGACATGCAAGATAGCAGGCTGCATGTGGCTGGCTGACGACAAGCAAACTAGCAGGCTGCATGTGGCCGGCTGAGGACATGCAAGCTAGCAGGCTGCATGTGGCCGGCTGAGGACATGCAAGCTAGCAGGCTGCATGTGGCCGGCTGAGGACATGCAAGCTAGCACGCTGCATGTGGCCGGCTGAGGACATGCAAGCTGGGTTGAAAGGTCCCCCACACAGTGGCCCTGAAGCAGAGTCTGACTCAACCACAAGTTAACGCAGGAGCACAACTGTCACTCAGGGGCTTCCACTACACAAGGGACTGTGTTTTGGACACAGGATTTAGTAACTAACTGTTTGAACTGTAGAGAGTGCACTATAGGATTCAATTTATTGTTTTAAGAAACGTCATCTCCTAATTAGTCACTGAGTGGACAAGTTCTACCTTCCTCATACTTAGCCTTACGAGTTTGACAGCTGGAACCAGAGGGAGGCTGACTGGGCGGCAAGAGTTTCAGAATTAAAGGACACAGTAGCAAACATTTCTTTTGACATGGTAGTCGAGTGAGCCACGAGTGTGCCAAACACCCAGACACGAGTAGCCCAAATCTAGCCCTAGGAAAATGCAGTGCACTTAAGTAGGTATTCCTGACTTACAAGCCAGCCTGTGTGGGAGGAATCTGTAACACTTTAAGCGTGGCCTTTTTTTTTTTTTTTTTTACTACCCCCAACAGATCCCACCCGTGTCTTTCAGGCATAGAACAGTGGGCAAAAAGAAGATGAATGGGGCTTGCTGGGGTAGGGACCCTCTTGTGCTTGCCTCTGTCACTCGGAACAGTGGTGACGCAACTGTTGGGGCTCGAGCTGTCCTTGGTGTGGCTGGAGCTGTCCTGGGTGTAACTGCAGTTCTTGGAGGTGGCTATCTGGCTTCTGAGTTGGCTGGTTTTGGTCGATTCTGTTGACACCACAGAGAGAGGGGTTATAAGAACTGGGGGGTGGACGGAGATGTTTGAGTAGATAGAGCTGCTTTGTTAAATTAATGTAACTTTAGGCTGGAGACGTGGCTCAGTCAATGAAGTGCTTGCTCTTCACTTACGAAAACCTGAGTTTGCTTCCCCAGCAACTATTTGAAAGCAAAAATGCCAGGCGGGGCTGTCATCCTCTCACTGAGGATGTGGCAGCTCCTTAGGGCTTGCTGATCCACCAGGCTAGCCTGGTGGGAGAGATCCAGGCCAATGAAAGACCTGCCTCAAGAAAACAAGGCAAAAGGCAGGTGAGGAAGAACACCCAAAGGTGACCTGTCTCCTCCATAAGTGCACACACACACACACACACACACACACACACACACTTAAAAAAATATATATTTAACTTTAGCTTTCCATTTTTCAGAGGATGATCTGCCGTACTGATTGTATTCTTTAGTTCAATTCAAGCTATGCCTCTGTTGAAAAGGAATCTGCTGCCAAACTCATTCAGATTAGAGGAGGAGAGAAGGAAAGGAAGGAGGAGGGAGATAAGGAGGAGGGTGTAGTTTCTTGAGGTTGTAGAGCTGAGGCCCAGCTTTCCACACAGGCAAGGGGTCTTTCTCAGCTCCTGGAGATACTGTGCATATAGCTTACCACGTGAGTCCCCGTCTTTAGGTCAGGCACGGTGCATGGAATTCCCCTCATTGTTTGGGTCTCCCTGACTTTCTCTTCTGCCACCAGCCAGAGACAAAGTCCCCATTTTTAAAGGGATTTTGTGTGGTCATACTAAGCCCACTAGGATAACTTTGTGTTTAGGTTAACACAATATAATCCACAATTGCAAGAGTTGTGTGATGTAGGGCAAGATATCTCTACTAGGTCACTTAACAAATGTTGATTATCACGGTTGCTGCCAGGTCATTTACATTACATTATCCTGTACCCTCTGTTGGTCCTTGCCACTAAAGGACAACATTTGTCAGATATTGACATTGACTTGTATGCGTTAAGGACTAATGTGCCTATGGCAAGACATTTTGGTTACTTTGCGCATTTCGTAACACAAACACACTGGTGGTAGATGTGTTCTGTGCTCTTTACAAGCTGGAGGGACAAGCACCCACAACGTCAAGTAGGCACTGGTGAATGAATCCTGCTGTGTTCTCAACCTGGACTCGCTCTTCCCCACAAGATAGCAGGAATGATTACAAGTGGAAAATCTTCAAATGGCCAGGTTTTCTTTCCTCTTCTTTTACACACAATAGTAACCCCAGTGAGTTCCATAGCTGGATAAGGGAGCTTGCCATAGGAAGCTCATTGGCTTTCTTAGAGGTCAGAGCCTATCTTGGCTGCTTCTGTAGCCAGGAATTGAAAGAAAAAGAAACAAAGAAAAAAAAGACGCCTTTTCTTGGGAACGGAGTATGTGGGCAAGTGATCAATGAATCACAGAAGAGAGCTAAGTGAAAAACTGTATTTGGCAATGGTGTATCTGTTCCCCACAATGTCTACTCCCCCTCCATGTTTCATTTCTCTTCTGCATTAAACATTAAGGTAAAATTAAATTTAGTACACGGCCGCCTGTGAATATCCAGGATCTGAAGTCTAAGTGATGTGGTGGTGAAAGAGGCAAAGGTCACTAAGACACTTAGGAGAAGTATAAACTAGCAGGTCTAGCCAAAGTCAGGCTCAGCAGAGACAGGATGGCAAAGGATCGGCCAAGGACGGGAATGGAGCCTGTTTGTTTCCACAGGCCTAGCCTGTTTCCCTTCTGGACAGTGTCATCAAAATCAAGCAGACAGGACATGCATGAGGCTCAAGGGCTGACTGCCTTGTCTCGCCTAGACTCATGAGACACCAAGCGACAGCAGTGGGAGAAGTCACTCTGCTCCTAAGATACACTTAGCATTCTGGTCTGCAGAGCCCACTGCTGCCACCTCCAGCAGTGCCAGCAGACAGACAGACAGACAGACACACATACACACACATACACAAAACCCTGTCACAAATGCAGTGAAAATTACTAAATCATTGGAACCACAACCCACAAAAACAGGCCACAGTCAACATGTCTGACAAACACAATGGCAACATGTCAAAATAAAAGACCTCAATAGGATCCAGTGTCTCTAATATAACAGAGTGCTCAGGGTACGATTTAAAAACATCACTTAGAGCTGCAGAGATGGCTTGGGTAGTTTTAAAAAGCCCATGATGTTCCTGCACAGGACCAAGTTCAGTTTCTAGCACCTATGTCAGAGAACTCACAACAGCTTGTAAGCTCCACCTCCAGAGATCTGACACCCTCTTCTGGCTTCTGCAGTTACCTACACTCATATAAGTATACCTAGCACACATACATACACACATATGTTACAAACACAACACATACAATCACATACACAGTACTACACACACAACACACACGATTAAAAATAAATATTTTTCAAAAATACATTTTTCTGTCAAGAAAAACACATCTTGAATAACAAAAGGCAACAAAATGTCATCAATGGAAATCAGAAATTAAGATTATTTGATGAGAATTTCAAAGAAGCTGTCCATAAAAAAATTTGACAAATAAATATAAATTCTCGTAGGGGAAATAAACAAATAGAAAAAACTGAAAAATCCCCTAATAAGACTAAATAAAAACAAAAGGAGAGGATAGACACAAATCATGATGTCAAGACATGGGGACATAACTATAGATCTTGCAGAAACGGAAAGTCAATAAAAGAATATGATGAACAACTTTGCCTTATAATGTGAGAATTTAGAAGGAAAATGACCAAATTCTCAAAAAAAAATTAGGAATTTCCAAAAACCAGACAAGATGAAACATGATAAGACCTATCTTAAAACCACAAGAAATCAAACTCAGATTGAAAAATCTCTTTTCAGAGATTTCTGGGTCCAGTTGGCTTCGTGATCCTCTTACACAACACACAGAAATTGCATCACTTTCTCCCAAGAAAGAAAGAGGAGGAAAACATCAACCCATTTGATGAGAATGGTATTGCATGACATGAAAACTCAGAAAATAGGACTTCAAAAGGAAGGAAACTGCAAACCAGGAACTTCTGTCAACCTTGACGTGAAAGTCCTCAAAATATTTCAGCAACTAGAGTGACAGATTACAACCATTGTACACAGAGACCATTCAGGAAACATTTAAGGTGCTGTCTTAGCTTCACCTGACAACTTGACACAGCCTAGGGTCACCCAAAAAGGGAATCTCAACTGAAGGACTGCTCAGATCACATTGGCCTGGGGGAGTCAGGGAGCGTGGGGGTGGGGGGTGGGCGGGGTGCTGTCTTGATTGTAGGTTGGTATAAGAGGATCCAGTCCATTGTTGATGGGCGACACAATCCTTGTACAGTTAGTTGATCCTTGGCTGTGTGAAAGGCTAGTTAATTATGGGCCTGGTAAAGCAGTAGCAGTGTTCCTCTGTGGATTTGCCTCAAGTCCCTGCTGGAATTCCTATCTTGGCTCCCTCAGTGGTCTCCTCTAAAGTGAAATAAGCCCTTTCCTCCCCAAAGTTCCTCCTGGCCAGAGTGTTTAATCATAGCAACAGAAAGCAAGCTAGAAAAAATATACAAGGCTGCTTCAGTATGTGAAAACAAACAATGCAATCAATCCATCAATAGACCAAAGAAGAAAAATCAGATATGAATGGACACAGAAAAAGCACCTAGCAAAATCCAGCACCCATTCATGATGAAAAATAAGAACCTTCCAGAAAGTTAAGTGGAGCACATTCCCAGCTTGACAAAGAATAGATGAGAACCTGCACAGTTGAAATCGTATTTAATAGGGAAAAATATTGTTTTCCCCAAATACTGGGAAAAAGAAAATGACAACCACTGTTACCTTTATTCAAAATAGTACTAGAGGTTCCAGCCCCTGAAATGAGGTAAGAAAGTGAAATGAAGCCAGAAAAAATGGAAATAAATACAAAAGTGTCCCTATTTATATAGTGTGACCATATAGAACATGATAGGAAATCTACCCAAAGGAGAGCTCTTCATACTACTGACTTTAGTGAAGCATCCAGTTACAGATTCAACAAAAACCAGCGACTGTATTTTATGGGATATGTGGAAAATTACAAAAGGCTGCTGTTAGACATCAAAGAAGACCCAAATGAATGGAGAGAAATTCCATGCTTATGAGTTGGGTGATCTGCCAAATGAAATCATACATTTAATGCAATTACTGAGAAATCCCAGAGAGTTTTATAATAGAAATGGACAAATGTATTCTAGAGTTCACCAATCAAGAACACATGAGAACTCTTAAAACTCACCAATGAAACTCACACTCATTTGAAAATTTACCACACAAACATTTCACTAGAAATGCACACCAGTTGGCGAACAGCAGTAACAAAGAAATGCAGGAAGACACTCAACACCTTCAGCAACTATGGAAATGCAAACTAAAATCACTGTGAGCTATCGCATGACCATCAGAAAGACTGAGATTTAAAAAAACCATGGTAAAACATTATGCCGTTGAAAATGTAGAATAACTGGTCTCTCACTCAGGCAAAATGGCATGGTTGTTTTGGAAAAATTGTTTGGTCATTTTCTTCACAGTGAAATGGTGAATTACCATGGGATTTGGCAATTGCACTCTTGGCTATTTATCCTAAATAAATGAAAACTTAAGGATGCAATGAATTTGTACATGCATGCTCATATTCTGCTTTATTTATAATAGACTGAACTTAGAAGTAACTTGGGTTAATCAACAGACACACGGTTAAAGCAACTGCGGCACATATCACCTGGACTACTCATCGATACAAAGGAATGAACTGTTCACATGTAAAATCTTCTATGCGTTTACAGAAAATCATGCTAAGTGAGAAAACAGTCAATTCTGTGATTCTGTTCCTAAAATATTTTGAAATGTAACAGTTTAGAAAGAAAGCATAGTGATTCCCAAAGGCCAGGGGAAGGTATAGAATTGTGTGGGTGAGACCATAAAAGGGCCCTATAGGGACCTCATGGTGATGGAATTCCCCCACATCCCTACACTTGTAATAAGAACCTAGTCAGACAAGACTAGCTGGGACAAATCTGAGCAAAACCTTTTGGTTTTACCAGTGTCACTATCCTGGTTGTGGATGTCTATGAGATGTTACCATGTGGGGGAACGTCTACAGGGTAATGCTCTGATATCATGCAAACTGTCTTAAGAAAATTCATTTTAAAAAAACACGCATAAGAGGTTCAGAAGTAGTAGGTTTGCCAGGAATGAACAAGGCACCAAAATAAACAAACAACACTTAAATTAGGGACTTAAAAGAAATCCCATGTGGGTTTGGTTTTAGTCCATCTCGCTGGAGGAAAGCCAGCCAAGGGTGGCGCCATTCTGGGCACAGGTACCTGCATGCAGGAGTTTCTTTTTCTGCGTCTTTCCATCCAAAATCTTCCATGGTCCTTTAGACACCTTGGGGGGTGAAACAGCCATTGAGTCAGCATCTGATTGAGAGTTTTCATATTTTTCTGGGGTTGAAACCATGGAGCAGATTTCCTTTTGATGCCTGTTGAGTTCAGATTTTTTAAAGTTAGACCAATAAAAAGGAGGGTGAAAGATAATGTGCATTAAGAAGGAAGAGAAGCAGATCAATACATTCATACTGAACACTGCAGACTTAAAGAAGTGAGCTCCCCTCTCAAAAGGAGGTCCCTTTAACTAAGAGGGCCAGCATACTGGGCAGGCTAAAATAAACGTATTGATCAAGATTCAGTCTTCCGATTATCAAACTAAGCATTAATACGTCTGGGTGAGTGGACACAGGAGAGTGTCAGGCCCAGCCCTTGAGTGGGGCAGTGTGACTCCTATCACAGATGTGTGACCTCACTGAAGTCACGAAGTTTCTTCAGTTTTGTCACCTGTCACTCAGGAGCTTCATCTGTGCACCACGACACAGGACTGCCGTGGGGACGAACACGAGGCAGCACACCTGTTATGGAAAACCAATTCTCTAACCGAAGCGTCATTGATCAAGCTCTTGCACAAGGTGAGACTTCTCAGGCCAGCCAAAATGGCAGCACATGATTTTAGAGACTCTCTGAGACCAGTAGGGATCCAGAAAAGTTCAAATCTCTGCCCACACATTTCTGTGTCTGGGCTCTGAAAAGAGCAGCCGCAGCACAGGTATGTGGATGCATGGGGCTCACAGTAGGGGCCCCGTGGTCTGTCCTTTGTGTGAAAACGTCCACACTGTGCACCCCACAGCAGAAAGGAACCAGGACTCATGCACCCATTTCTCCTGGAGCAGGGTTTGTCCTCGGTGTATTAAATAAATAAATAAATAAATAAAATATTTGGAGGCTGATATGTCTTTATTTTTCCTAGTGGAAAACTTCAAAACAGTAGTCTGTGGTTGATAAAAGCTAAGTGGGAGAAATCACTGTTCTAACACAATTAACTAAACAGTACAGCAGTCTGTAGGCTGAGCCACTGCCTTTTGCTCTGTTAAGTCAGAGTTCCTACTGTGAGCCACAGGCATCCACCCAACCACCTATCACCGCCCTTTCCCACATTACAGATGGGAGAACAGAGGCTTTGCCCAAAGTGGGAAGGCTGCAGTGGTAAGATGCCTCTCACTCCATCAAGCATGCGGTCCTCCCAGCCCTCGAAACAGAAAACACAAGACATCGGGGTCACTGCTCAGTCAGACAACAGACCAAATCCAAGTTCTAGCACCAGCTGGTCATTTTGTCTAAGGTTTTCTTTGTTTAAACAAGGGAAGGCTGAAAGAAGGGAAAAATTAGCTTACACCCAAGGAATGCTTGCTTAGTTGATTGTCAGTTTATCTGTGAAGTTTAGAAACACATTTGTGCTTCTCCCAAATTCTCAAAACACTGCAAAATCACCTTCTAAGAGAATCCACTATAGGACAGGCCTCTTTTTCTCCTAACTTGATATCTGTGTTAATGCTTAAGTTGTTAATTGGAAGACTTTGTTTCGATGAATAAAAAAAAAATTCTGGCTAATAAATGTATTTTCAGCCTTTCCGTTCGCTCTCTCCCTATGAGCATGAATATCTGTACAGACAACCCTAAATCACTTTAATAAGATTTGACTCATTTCCTGAGTGTTGGGATCAGTGGCCGTTTTGTTGATACCACCACAAGCAGAAGCACGATACAGGCTGGAGGAAGACTGAAGAAGGGTGTCTCCCCAACCTGCGACCACAGCCTGATCAGGAAACAGATCCAGGTCGTGGAAAGGTGTGAGAGGAAGTGAATTGCCTGTCAGTGCTTCACAGACTCAAGCCCAGACCTCAGGCTGTTGAGCCCTGGGCTGTCTCCACCTCAGACACCCCTCTCTGCCCCGCACTGCTCGGCGGGTTCTATACTGGATAGAAAATACAGAGTGCACACGTGACCTCAGGCCAGTTACTAGACCATTCTCTTTCTGTAAAATACCCTAACATGACCAGACTACATGCTTCTTACACTAGATCCCTCAAAGTCCTTCAGAAAGGGGAGAGCAGGAGGAGCATATGGGGGGGGCAAGGGGAGCAGGGAGGGGTGAGGCAGAGTGGGGGGTGGGAGCAGGGGAAGTGGTCTGGCACTCACTTGAAGCCTCCCCCCTTTTCTCCATTGTACCACCAGTCCATGACTAAGGACTCAGAGTAAAGCTCCTGCATCTTCTCCAGGTCGCTGTAGCCCTGTTGCATCTCCTGAATCAAGAGGCTCATGTCTTCATCCTGCTGAGAGAGAAGTGGACAGTCACGGGCAAGCACCTGGGACACAGACTGCATCAGACAGAGCAGAACCTAAAGCATCTCACGGGCTCCTTCACCATCCCATGTCCAACTAGCCTTATGGTCTATTAGTTACCTACGACAAAGAGAATTTACACAGTCACACTTGTGACGTTGTCATGACAAAAGTAGTAAGCATCTCCATCACCACCCCAAAGCACCCCATCCCCGTTTGTAAACCTGGTCTCCTTCGCACAACCCCTCTCCTTCATTACTAAGCAATTACTCAATATATTCTGCCACTACACATGAGTCTGAATTCTCTGCGAATGGAATCATACAACAAAAGCTCAAATCCTCGGGAGCTCCCTCCTCTCACTTATTTTGAAACTCGTTCATAGTATAGTGTGAACCCCCATTCATTCATTGAAGTGTTAAGTAGTTTTCTACTGTATAATAAATATAAAAATGTATCTGTTCACTTGCTTATGGGCAGCTGAACTCTTTTCAGACTTGGGCTGTTGCAGATAAAGCTATGAACCCTTGTGTGTGAGTCATTTGTGTGGACATACGCTTCTGATTACTTTCGGTAAACAGGAGTCTTGGATAACTAGATCATGTAGATGGTGATGTCAGTGTTTGGGACAAACTACCAAACTGTTTCCCAAAATGGTTGTTCAATTTATAATCTTGCCAGTAAGGTATGAGTCCCAGACCCTTCCTATCTTTGCAAATACAGAGCATGGCTGGCTGATGACTCTCCCCGATTCTAACCCTTGCCTAAGAGTGTCTGTTTGTGACTTCACTGTGGATTTCTTGATGCTAATCGGGATGAGCATCCTTTTGTGTTATTTATCATGCACATATTCTTTTGTTAATGTTTTGGTTTTCCCTGAAACAGGGTCTTGCTTTATATCCCAGGTTAGCGTCGACTTCATGATCCTCCTAACTGCATCTTCAGGAGTGGGGTTACAGGTATGCACCCCCTTGATCTGATCCCAACTATACTCTGAGAAAATGTTCAAAAATTCAGCCCATATTTTGAGTGTCCTCATTATTGAATTTTGAGAATTTTTTTTAATATTCTGGGCATAAATCATTTAGTGGACATAGAATTTGAAAATCTTTCTCTCCTATTCTACAGCATTTCTTTTTTATATTGTGGCAATCTTTTTAGAGAAGGTTGTTTTTTTGGTTTATTACACATGATCAACTTATTCATCTGCAGATTACAATTTTATATACTACCTAAAAACATATTTATAGTGCATGTATACGTATTTTTTCCAGCTAGGCACTGTGGCTCGGGTCTGTAACCTCAGCCCTTGGGAGGCCAAAGTAAGAGAACCAAGAGTTTGAGGCCAGCCTGGGCTACATAGGGATTATCCTGTTCTACAATTTTGTTTTTCAGAAAAGTTATTTTGGTAATAATAAATCCTTGGCCTACCCATAAGATCAGTTTGTGTGTGTGTGTGCCCAGGCATGTGCGTGTGTATGTATTTATGTGTGGTTGCATGTGTGTGCATGTGTATGTATTTATGTGTGTGTGCATGTACATATGTTATATGTATTATATGTATGTGTATGTACATGGCTGTGTGCGTGGGTGTGCGCATGGGTGTGCACACATGCGTGTGTATGTATGTGTGTGCATGTGTATGTGCTGTGTGTGTGTGTACATGTGTGTGTGCATGTGTGATGCATGTGAATGTGTAGATGCAGGTACATGGAGTTCTGACTTCTGCCTTGAATACAAGGCTCTCAATGAACCAGAGAATTGAATTTCCATTATGCTGGATGGCCAGCAAACTCTCAGAATTCACTTGTGTCTGCCCCATAATGCCAGAGTTGTAGGTGCCTGCAGCAACCCCTGGCTTTTTACATGGTACTGGGGGTTCAAACTCAGGTCCTCATGGTTGCAGAACAAGGACTCTTATGCACCGGCCCATCCATCATTCGAGCTCCAGTGTGTTAGTTTTTATTAAAATCCTGCTTTTATTTTGACTGGGATTGTATTGAGTAACAGATCCATTAGAAGAGAACAGAGAGCTTAATGTTGTCAAGTCTTCCAACACATGTTCAGGATGCACCTCTTGGCAGTGTTTCACTGTGCTCACATATTTTGACAGATGTATCCCCACACTTACTTACTTCTTTCTTTCTTTCTTTCTCTCTTTCTTTCTTTCTTTCTTTCTTTCTTTCTTTCTTTCTTTCTTCCTCTTTCCTTCCTTCCTTCTTTCCTTTCTTTTTCCTCTTCCTCCCCCCCTTTTTTTTTTACCTCTGATGCTATTGTCAGTAAGTCTATTTTAAATGTCTATTGTTCACTCTGAGATTCCATCTTACACCAGTAAGAATGGCCAAAAACACTGATGACAACTTATGCCGGAGAGGATAAAAGGAACTCCCCTCCATTGCTGGTGGGAGTGCAAATTGGTATAGCCACTTTGGATTCAGTATGGTGATTTCTCAGAAAATTAGGAAACCACCTTCCTCAACACCCAGCAATATCACTTTTGGGTATATACACAATGGATGCTCAATCATACCACAAGAACATGTGCTCAACTATGTTCATAGCAGCATTGTTTGTCATAGCTAGAACCTGAAAACAACCTAAATGCCCCACAACCAAAGAATGAATAAGGAAAATGTGCACATAGTAGAAAGAAATAACAACATCTTGAAATTTGCAGGCAAATGGATGGAGCTAGAAAACATCATATTGAGTGAGGGAACCCAGGCCCAGAAAGGCAAATATAATATGTACTCACTCATAAGTGGCTTTTAGACATAAAGCAAAGAAAAACCAGCCTACAATTCACAACCTTAGAGAACCTAGATAACAAAGAGAACCCTAAGAGAAACATGCATGGATCTAATCTACATGGGAAGTAGAAAAAGACAAGATCTCCTGAGTAAATAGGGAGCATGGGGACCATGGGAAAGGGTGAGAGAGAAGGGGAGAACAAGAGAGGGGAGCAGAGAAAAATATATAGCTCAATAAAAATAATTTAAAAAGAAAAAAATTAAAAAATAAAACATCTATTGTTCTTTGCTAGTAGGCAGAAACAAAGTTTTTGTACATTTCCTCTTATGACTTATAATCTGGCTAAAGTAAATGATTAGCTTCATAACTCCACTGTGTATTCCGTAGTATTTTTTTGACTAGATGATGATGCTGAGTAAAAATAAACACAGTCTTCCGTCCACTCTGGTGCCTCTCATTCCTTCTGCTGCTGATGTGTTAAAGTGGTGAGACCAAGCATCCTTGCACCTTGCCTGGTATTTGAGGATTTAATTTTCACAGAAGTGTTCACTGAATCTGGCAAAAAGTTTATAGTGTATAAACTGAACTGGCTATATTCTTAACTTTTATGTGTATTATTGTTTTACCCGCATGTCTGTCTGTGTCCCACCTGCACGCATGGTGCCTGTGGAAGCCAGAAGAGGGCGTGTGGTCCCCTGAAACTGGAGTTGCAGTTGGTGGTCAGCTGCCATGTGGCTGCTGGGAACTGACCTGGGTCTTCTGGGAGAGGAACAAGTGCTCTTAATCACCGAGTCATCTCTCCAGCCTTGAGTTTTGCTTTGTCTTCAATAAGTTGAGGAACTATTGGCTGCTAACAGCTGCTCATGACCCAGTTGATGGCCCTGTTCATGCATGGTCAGCACTGACTGGACTCAGGAAGTTATTAATAATTTTTTAAAAGACATGAAGTCCTGAGGGAGGTGGGTTGGTGGGCCCTGGGAGACTTCAAAGGGGATCGTGGAGGATATGTACATGTATGAAATTTTCAGAGGATAAATAAAAATAACAACATTGGACTGGATAGCTCAGCAATTAAGAGCACTGGCTGCTCTCCCAGAGGAACAAACATCTGTGATCCAGTCCCAGGGGATCCAATGCCCTCCTCTGGTTTCCAAGGGAACCAGTCATGCATGTGGTGCACAGACACACATGCAGGCAAAATGCTCATCCATGTAAAATGAAACAAAAATAAGCGTGTTGATACGGTGAGTTATATGCTGATTTTTAAATGCTATACTGGCATTGCATATCTGCACTAAATCCAACATGGTCATGGTATGTCAGGTGTGTTATGTCGTTACAGTTCGTTTGTAACCTTTGTATATTTACACATGAGAACATCAGCTTCCAGCTAGGTTTCTATATCAGGTCAGTGTTTGTCTTAGAGGAGGGTTAGGGAAGTACTCCCTCTTCTCAAAGTTCTAGAAGACTCTATCTACAACCCAGATCCTTGCACATGCTAAGCAAATGTTCTACCACTGATCTGTACCTTCAGCCCTAGAGTTGATATTACTACTTTCATCTTAAATATCTGGTACAAGCTCAGCAGTGAAGTCCTCTGGAGTCACCTTTGAGGAAACCATTTAACTATGAACTCTTTGTTTTTCTCTGAAGATAGAGGGCTACTTATACTTTAAATGAATATAAGCTTTCATTCTCTGAAATGCATGCCTGGTAGACCAAGGACCAGGTCATACAGTAATCAGCTATTTTGCATTCATAGAAACTGCCAGACTGCTTCAGAGCGTGCCTGTATTTTGCACTCCCGCCAACAATGAGCTAGCGGCCTGGTTTCTCATCTCACCAGCACTCGGATGGACGTGGCGTGGCAATGCCCAGAGTTCAGCCTGTGTTCCTCTAAGGCCCGTGACATCCAGCCCCTCTGCGTGTTTATTCAGCATTTCCATGGGGGCTCTTCGGTAGCATGTCTGCATGTGTTCTGCAGGTTTTCTAAGTAGACTCTTTGTTTCTATGGCCCTGGGAATTGAACCCAGGATATTGTCCATACTAGGTAAGCGTCTACCACTGACCTCGATCTCCCCAGACTCTCTTTAAGTTTTTCTTAAAGACCTCGTTAAATTTCCCAGGCTGACTATTCTAGTTTGCTTTCTGTTGCAGTGATAAAATGTTCTGACCATAAGCAACTTGGGTCAGAAGGGTTTATTTCATTTTATAGGTCACTGTCCTTCATTGAGGGGAGTCAGGGCAGGACTCAAGTAGGAACCCAGAGGCAGAAAGTGAAGCAGAGGCCATGGAGGAGCACTTCTTCCTGGTTTGCTCTCTCTGACTTGCTCAACCTGCTTCTTTCCTCCTCCCTCCCTCCTTCTTTCCTTCCTTTTTTTTCCGTTTGCTTTTTTTTTTTCAAGACAGAGTTTCTCTGTAACTTTGGAGCCTGTCCTGGAACTAACTCTTGTAGACCAAGCTGGTCTCAAACTTACAGAGACCCACCTGCCTTTGCCTCCCGATTGCTAGGATTAGAGGCATGTGCCACTACCGTCCAGCTTCAGTCTGCTTTCTTATGTCTCCCAAGTCCACCTGTCCAGGAGTGGCACTGCTTACAGTGAGCTGGGCCCTCCCACATTAATCATTATTCGGGAAAATGCTTGCCTGTAGGCCAATTTGATGGAGGCAATCCCTTCCACCTGGGAAGAAAGTTTGGTTTCCTCTTCCCAGCTGACTCTGGATTATGAGGAGTTGGCATAAAAACAACAATAAAAACAAACAAACAAACAAACAAAAAACCCAGCCAGCACAGTGGTCTTGGACTAAACATAACCCAGGCAAATCTGGAACTTCTGATTCCCCTGGTTCAGCCTAATGAGTAGCCGTAATTATAGGCCTGTATCACAAGGCCTAGCTTCTTTCTAGAACTCTTTTAATTTTGTGTTTTATATTCAAGCCCATGGTCTACTTTGCATGCGCATGATCTATCTATATGCACACAAAGACCAGCATTTAGGTTGAGGTTCCTCATTTTGCCTGTGTTTGGTCAGTTGTTCCGATTCTTTGTCGAAAAGGCGATCTTTCCTTCTCTGAACTGTTCTGAGCCTCTGTCTAAAAGCAGTCAGGAGGGGCTTGCTGGGGTATTCCTGCAGCTGTTCTAATGGTCTATGCAGCTGTTCCTCCACCAAAGCCACGCTGTCTGAATCAGTACAGCTTCACACACACACACACACACACACACACACACACACACACACACACGCACACACATACACGCACACGCACGTGCGCACACATGTGCGCGCGCACACACACACACTACCATTAGCAACAGTGCTTTTCCCCCTTTCTTTATGGGTAGATGTTTTCCTGCTGTTCTGTATGCCTGATAATATTTGATTGGTTTCCAGGCAATGCAGATATCTTGGTTTCCCTGTCATTATCGGGGGAGTTGTTCTATAATGCATGCAGTTAAGTTACTTGGAAACAGTTTTATCCTTCCAAGCCTTGTTCTCCAGATTTCTACTAAGGGAGCATGACCATTCTATGTACTCTACAAGTATCTACGGGAGGACGGGGTTTCACATTCTCTCTGACCAATGCATCACTATTCCCAGCCTTGGGGGAGCTCAGAGCACAGCTCCCTCTGATCCTCTGCCTGGTTCAGTCCTCAGACTCGGGTAGTCCCCTCTGTCTCAGTGTTAATCAGTTTCTGGTTTGTGCTCATAATATCTTGCTATGGTTCAAAGTCTCTTCCAGGGTATGCAAGAAGGCAAAAGAGCAACAACCCCACATTCCTCTGGCAGAGCCCTTGAGTAATCTTCCTCAGGCCAAGACTGGAGGGTTATGGAATACTATCATTTACTCCCTCATCCCCCAGCCCTCGCCCATCAGAGTGAATTACCTCATCAGATGGTCACATGGTTATATCCCCTGAGAAGCTCGGAGGCAACTACTTAGCATCTGCAGTTTTCTTAGTGTTTCTTACACATGTGCGTTTATACAGGAGTAGTTAAAAGTCATTATATGTATGGTCTGGAGAAATAGCCCAGTGATTAAGAGGACTGGCTGTTCTTATAAAGGACCCAGGTTCAAGTCTTAGCAGCCACATGGTGACCCACAAACATCTGAAACCTTCTTCTGGCCTCCAAAGGTATCAGGCATGCAAGTGGCATACAGACATACATGCAGGAAAACACCTAAACACATTAAGTAATATATATTTTTGAAAATTTTTTAAAAAGTCACTCTTTACATATGGATCCCCGGATTTTAAAACAGACCCCTGAACTTGGAGAAAATGTTCCTAATTGTTGAACTGAGTGGTGATTAAACTGGATCCATAGACCTTCAAATTTTTGTGTATATTTGAAACCTCCTATCACAAAAAATAGACAAAAACAAAATGTATTAAGACCCTGAGGTCAATATATCTAAGGACTTCCTGGCTTGTAACCTGTGACCATGAGGTGCACATTGTCACAAGTGTCCTGAGATTCCTGGGCCACATTTGGAGAAACACTAGTGCATTTCAATAATTTCAGCTGCTTAATAGTTTTGTATATGGCTGCCATTTTCCCAAATTGGGGGCTGCCCCTGATCTCTGAGACTCAAATGAATGCATGAACCATCTTGCTCAGTGCGCCAAGTTCCCACCTGAACATCCTGAAGGATAAGATCCTTGCAGCCAAAATTATAAGCACGGAACTCTCCTCCGGTCACAGAGGCTAGCTCCTTCAAGAACTCATTTGCAACCTCATCGTTGTAATTGAAGGAGATGGCATAGATAGGAATATTCTGGAAAAGTTTGACGTGGTCCATCACCATTTCTGGTGGCTGAAATGACAAATAAGGGAAATGGGGAAGGGTAGAAGAGAAAGAAAGAGGCATTACATGACACACTCTTAGCCTTTGCCATAGGCAGTCAAATTCTGAGACTGGAATTGCTTACACAGTGAGACACCTTTTGTCTATGTGTTAGTTCACTTCCATATGCAAACTGCCTACTAAAGAGCATGGGGACCCAAAGGCCATGGTCCTGGCCCTCTGAACTCTCACTCTGTGGTAGGATAGGAAAAATGTTTGTCTAACAGAAACACCTCAACCTGAATCGCACCTAAGTGTGGAGGCCATGCCAGCTGGGCTGTGGGCTGGGCTATAAAGAGGACTGGGATGGAGCCCCATGTACATCTGGGTCACTGGGATCCCACACAGTGGGTGCCGTTTCCCAATCTGGCTTCCAAACAGCTCTACCAAAAGAGTAATTTCAGCTTTTGCCATGTTGTAGGCAATTTGCTTGTTAGAGATAGAGGGAGAGAAAACAGGAAGACCCCCTTGTTAGACGTCTGTCCATGCACTGGGGACTTGGTTTAGGGCTTAAGTTCCTGGCTCCTCCTTACAACCACCAGGTACTCCTTCAGAGCATCTTGTGGGGTAGCTTTGGAAGAAATGACGCCCCCACCTACTATCCATTCCTCTTGCCATTTTAAACTATAAAAACACTGGGTTTCTTTCCATGATAGTAATATTGTCAGCTTAAAAAAAGCATAAAAATCATCAATAATAAGACAGTAAAATCTACTATTCACAGTTAGGAGTGGCCAAACCACCCAGTTCTGACTAATGAGATCCAGAAGTTCTCAGGGAGAGATTCCCTTTCTCAATAAAAAGACAGACAGGAGTCTAATGTCCTTCTCCATTCCTGGGAAATGGACTGTCCTCCCGGGGCAGCTGTGACCGACAGGATAGAGTGTGAAAACAAGAGAACACCTGCTCTGCGGGATGCACGTGCAGTCGTTGTAGAACTAGGCTGGCTACAGCTGGATTTCTCACCCCTGCAAAGGAAGCTCTCAGTCGACGCCATTTGCCTATGATCCTGACTTTCCCCAGCTTTCCCTCCAAGTGACACATAGCTAGCACCTCCATTTCATGGTGGAGAAACTGAGGCTCTGTATGGTTAGGTTTCCCCGTGTCGCCAAGTTCTCAGGTGGCCAAACCGGAGAAGAGGAATGCTGGCAGAGGATTTACTCCCCTGGAGGATGACAGGCATCGCCTCTTGACAACCATCAACTCACAGTACCATTGCTTACCTCCCAGGAAAGAATTCCTCTGCCATCTTCTTCTCCACTACAGCCCAACTAGCACCTTCAGAGACTGTCCCCAGCCGTCCCAAGACACTCCCTTGTGTTCTCAGTGTTACAAGTTCCTCTCTGATCATCCAGCTTGCTGACTCCTTCAACCAGTTCCATCTTCTACCTGTGGTTCTTGCCCTTTACCCTTTAACCTTACCTCATTCTTTTTCCCATGAAGCCCCAGGGGAAAGGCGATGAACAAGAGGGGACTGTACTCAGAGCTAGCTGACCTTCCCTGAGGAGGCGTCTGCTTAAATGCTCCCCAGAGCCTGAGCTTGTGTAAGCCATCACTCACACACATCCTCAGTCTGTTTAGCTCTAGCCTTGAGTCCACGCTTACTCAAAGGGAATTTTTCTGACCATCAGCTGATTTACTTGCCAAATCAATTCGACGTAACCAACAAGCTGCCGCCCCTGTTTCTTTGGCCAACTACAAGGCCTGAGAGAAGCAAGACATCCTGCCTGCTCCCGGCTCAGCTCCCCTTTCTGGGGCCTTCCTAGATGTTAGCAGGCTTCCCCAGGCATCCTTCTACAACCTTCAGAGGTAGGGATGTGGCTTTCCCTTCTTAGTAGGAAAACCCAGCCTCTGCTCCTTGACTCTGCACACCAGACAAGAGACAGACCTCCTCATTTGGGTCATCGAATAAACGGCATCAGCAAGGGCCACTCTTACATTGACTTACAGCTGATACACCCGAGAGGGGAAGGAAAACAACATTATAGTTCCAGCTGCATGCTGGGAACCATAGCGGGCGCCTCCACCTCGTTAGCTATATGACATCATGCATTTATTTGCTCATTGCCTCTCCTTCCACTAAAAGCTTCATCAAAGGTCAGCCCTTTCTCCATCTTACTCACTATTGTAGCTTCAGGCTGAGAAGAGAAGCCCTGGTACTCAGTCAATATTTATGGAGTTCATTTATGGAAATACCGTATCGTTTGTTTTCTCAGGATAACCCCGCAAGGAAGGAGGACTAGCCTTAAACTACAGATGAGGAAATGCCAGCTGAAGAACTCTTGTCTAAGGGATGCTCTGATGGACAGTGTTGGGTCAGTTCCTAACCCAGGTTTCCACCTCTAAGCTATTCTATCTCGTTAAAGAGCACATTAGAGCAAGATAGCCCACCACCTGCACCCAGCCCCAGACCCCCACAATGCTAAACCCGCACGGTGTTCCAGCGCCCCCCTGTGGCACTAGAGAGCTGAGGCGAGGGATAGCGTGTCCTAGACTGGAAAGCAGACTCCACAGCCATCTCTACCTTCTGCCTGCTCTAGACTGCCTCAGCTGGTTTACACCCTCAGAACACCGCAGAGGAAGACTCTGAAGGTCGGCATCAAGCTCTGCCCACAGCAGCCTGGCTTGCTTTCTCCACAGAGGCTTCCTGACAGGGTCCTCTGGGCTGAGGAGTGGAGGAGCCATAGCCTCTCGCACTCCTGTGGAAGCATGAGGAAGCTTTTCTCATCCCAGGGACTCACGGAGGCCTCCGGCTCTCTCCAGTCCCTCAGAGAAGGCTGAGCAAGGTGCGCAGCTAACTCTCCATCATCAACCCATGGTGTGGGAGAATTGTCTGTATTCTGTCAATCATGTTTTAATAAAACGCTGATTGGCCAGGCAGGCAGTATAGGCGGGAAAGCCAGACAGGAAGTAGGGGTGGAGCAAAGAGACTGGGAGTATTCTGGAAAGCAGGAAGCTCCCTCTGCAGTTCTGCCCAGGTCACCGGAGAGGAAAGATGTAAGCTGCCCCACTGGAAAAGGTACTGAGCCATGTGGCTAATGTAGATAAGGATAATGGGGGTAACATAAGTTACAAGGACTAATAAGAAGCCTGACCTAATGGGTCAATCAGCTTTATAACCTATAGAGATCTCTGTGTGATTGATTTTCTCTGGGACTTGCCGGCTGTGGGGTACTGAGCGGGAACAGATACCAACAAGCCGGCCCCTCATGTTACAAACCCAGGCCAGCAGCAGGCAAGTGGGACCCTGGATTTCCTTGCTCCCTGTGACTTCCCCATCCTTAGACTCCATAGGGCCTGTGCTAGGCTTTATCCATTATTCTCGTTTTAGAAGGATGCAAAAGTATTCGTCACGTCCACTTGGAAAGACTTTGAAGGAGTCCTAAAATAACTACGGCCAGAGCTGGACTAGACTTTGCCCACGCCCACCAGAGTACAATTGTATAATGGGACTCTTTTTACCTTAATGAAGACTGACATTTCTAGAATTCTTGGAACATGACGAATTTTAAAGTGTGTCACCTTCTAATGCTGGCCTGACTGTGAAGCGAACGGTAAGCGGATGCCGATGGATCTAGATTGTCCACGTGGCCATCCAATAAGGAAACACTGTTGAGCATTCTGAATCGCACTGGCCCTACACAGTGAGCTTCCTCAAAGGTGGTGAAAACTGACAAACAAGAATGAACCTACCCCATTCCCCTCCAGATTCCCCACCACCACCCGCTCCAGCTAAACTCATAGGAAGAATATCCTGACAGAGCCCGGGGCTCTTGGGCCAGTGTTAGCTTAACTTGTTATCACTACTGAAACAATGGTGGGGCTCCTTAATATATTTTACACAGAACACAAATATCTAATATCCATTTGCTCTGCTGACAGAATCTTCAGGACAATGCAAAGGAAAGAGACTCGCATGTGAAAAGGTAAACATGAACATGAAACACTTTGACACATTTATAGATTAGGCTTTGAGTAATCATCCTTCTTGGGATTCTGACTGTCACTTACCTCCTCAGTGCTTCGTGTTCAGATGAAGCACAATCTCTCTCGGAAAAGCTAGTCATCTTTAGAAAGCTGCATGAATGTATTTGGATGCACTGATGTGAGATTTCAGAACCCTGGAAGGCTATGCTGTGAGAAACCCTGAGCTACTGAACCATCCTCTATTTCTTGGGGCTTCTGGACATCCATGTAGCCCAAGTACACAAATAATATGCTCACCAGAATCCCAACCCTGTCTGCTCTTAACTGAAACTTCGCTTGGGTTAGTAATATCACAATGAGCCAGAAAGCAATTAACCCTTCTAACTTCCTCTGCCTTCTCCTCTCTCCCACTGCCTGCTACCAAGTTGAACACCAAGTCTCACTGACTCTGAAGAAGTCCCTTCCTCCCCAGTTCTCCTGCTGCCAGCTGACACTGCTTACAGGCCCTCATTGAAGTTCCAGCAGAAGCTCTGGCATAGCTGGCATGTCCCCAGCATTATCGGGGCATCATGCTTCCAAACTAGGAAGGAGTGATAAATTGTGCTCCTATGAAAGGTCCCCACTGCGGTGACCTTCCAACCCGCACAACATCCCCGCACACTTCTGTCATGCCCTGATTGTTTCTCTAAGCATGGCCCTCATGCCCACCTTTCTGTACCTCCCACCTAGGACAATTTGGCTTCCTCTGTGCAGAAAGTTCTTTCTCTTCTTTCCAGACACAGCATGAATGCCCCCCCCCTCTACTTAGAGGACTCTCCCTGGTTTTCTGCCCATCTTGTATAGCTAAATCCATCCCTCTGTGCTGCTAGACATAGACCAGACAATCTCAGCCCCTGGACTGTATCAAAATAGACTGTATACATCTAGCGCCTTCCCTAACGGTTTCCCTAAGGCGAGGATCAGTCAAACCTTGGCACCACCCAGGACACACATGAGAGTGACAGACTGCTTCTGAATAGAAACCACAATGAAGTTGACAGGGAAAGCCTTCCAAATTAAAGTTCCCTGAAATGCCACTTCTCTGCCATGAATCTAATGCAGTAGTAAAATCCGGTGGCTTTAGTATTTAATCCCTGAGTCATTTGACACGGTATTTTAGAACAGGCAGTCTGCACATATAAACATCTTCCGAGGCCGGATACATGTTGATACTAATTCACCTTAGCAGTCAATTTACATTGTGCCGGCCTGGAAAATCCTCGTATTTACTTAATGCCGGGAGTCCTCGTCTTTCATTCACAAAGCTCGAAAGAAACAGAACAGACTCTTCTAAAACGTCTCAAATATTTTCCAGGCAGGCTAAACAAAGCCAAGAATGTCTCAGTTGAAAGGCCTGCTTTTGTTTAAGTGAGGCTGAAGCTAAAATTAGGGCTAGAACCAAGGGCGCGGCCCGGTGACATGTTTAGATTGAGTCCTCAAAGGAAACAAATGGAAGGCAATCTCGGCGGTCCTACTTTGTCATAAAACATAAGCCAGTGTGCAGTGGAATGCAGCGTCTCCTTCCCTGGCGTGCTCTCCAGGCCTGTGAATATGGGTCACACTGAACATAAAACATTCACCACCATCACAATGCCCATAAATGTTCCTCAGTTGTAGAAGACAGGGTTGCCCTTTGGTGTCTTGTCTTACCTCAGTTCTGCTTCCCTATGCCAGGGACATACCTCTCGATATCTCTTGTTGGGGTGGTGCTGGGGGCTCTGGATATTGAACCTAGAGCCTCTTGAATGCTTAGGCAAATACTCAACTCTGGGCTATATACCCTTAACCCTCTTTAAAAAAAATTTCAAAACAAAATCTTGAGACGGGGGTCTTGCTAAGTTGCTTATGCTGGTCTTGAACTCATTCTATAACCAAGCAGCTGTTGAACTTGTCATTCTCCTGCCTCGGCCTCCTATGTAAGTAGGATGAGAGGTTTGAGTCACCAAGATCAGCTTCTCTGCCTTGTGATGTCCCCTGGAAAGGTCTCGTTCCCCCTCTTGGCATTCTCCTCCACGACATTCTACAACGGGTATTCATTAGTCGTTTTAGAGAGTACCTGATCGGGTCTCCCATCCGTCAAAAGGTAGATGGTTTCTGTTTCTTTGTCGGCAAAAGCAATTTTCAGGGCATTCAGGGTATTTGTGGAACTTCCAACCTATGGGGGAAGAAAAGAGATAGTCAAAACAGTTTGTACAAACAAGTTAAGTGTATTCTCTGCTCAGTGTGGGGGGTAAAAAGCAAAAAAAGGCATCTGAAATAAGAGACAAAATTTCATTGAGAAAATGACTTAAGTCCAGGGATTTCAAGAAACCAAATTCCCAGGTGTGCCATTAGAGTCTCTAGCCAGGTAGTTCAAGATCTGATATGAGCCAAGGCTGTGGGCTTCCTGTCTTGACAACTGGGGTCTTAATGCAATTTTCATCTGTGTTTTTGCGTGAGATACTCACTCACTCGAGGATGGCTTTGCTGTCGGCAGAGCTGGATCAAGCAGCCTGAATGCATCCTGGTTGGGATCATGTTCGTTTCAACTCAGGATTTATTTGTGCCACCCAGTATTCGGCAAACTCGCGTGTGGTCTTATCGCTGGCCTAATGATGAACACACGAATGTTTCTAGCATAAATCCAACCTACAAAGGTCAGGGTGGAACACTGACCTTAACTTGCATGGCATAGTACTAGGTCTTATGTGAATGCATGGGGTCCTGATGTTCTGCTTTGGGTATGATGGAAATAAACAGACATAGCAGGCAGCCTGGATCTACGGGTTCCATACCCCTGGGAATCAATCAAGCATGTTAAAAAATATTTAGGAAGAAAATTACACAGGCACTGAATATCGAAAAAATTCATTATTCCCCAAGTAATATATTATTATAAGCACCCACTATACTATTTTACATATATACTATATACATCACTATATTATGTTACAAACATGTAACTTGAAGGTAATTGAAAAAGATATAAAAGGATATGCATAGTTTATATGTAAACATGCTCCATTTTATATAAGCAACATCTGTCAATTTGGGTATTCGTGAGGAGGGAGGGTGATCCTAGGACCACTTCCCCATGGCTACTGAGGGCTAATTGTATAAATTAAAATCATAATCAATCAAAGAGAATAGATTATGATTTATTTTCTCTCTTACATATAACATTAATCATAACACCACAATTCTTTGTATAAAAAAGAAAAAAAGATAAACATTGCATGTCAAGGGGAAATAATGATAGGTTTTTAACAATGTCACCGAAACACATCAAACAATTATAAATTAGAAAATCTCATGACTCAATTTAGCATGGGAAGAAATCAAATAAATTAGATTCACTGGAGTGCACTTGATTTAACACACAAAAACAAGCCTTACCAAGAAATAATCTTTGCCGGTAAGACGCACGGGACCTCAAGATTTCCAAAGCCTACTTAAGCCATCCCCTGCATCTCAGACCCAGGGTATCAATTCAGTCAGAGTTGTAAGCTACAAAAACAATCGTGATTGATCCAAGCAAGAAGAATTTATGCAAAGGGCATCTGGACAGCCCACAGGCTATCTTAGCATCTGGCTGGAAAACCTGGGACCTCACACCGTGGAGCGGGGGGCCCAGTCCTGCTGCAAGCCTGCTTGGCAGGAGCCCCACTGTAACACCACCAGCATACCAGATGCTGTGGTTAGCCACACCAAACAGGGAACTGTCAGCCATGAGGTGCACCAGCAGTCCACTGCCTCTGCCACCCAAGAAGCTTCGCCAGTCTGCATATGCCACCATTGTTATGGTTCTCGCTGGCAGACCGGCCATCTGAAGTCACTGACTCTCAACTCAAACCCAGGGAGGATACTCTGAGGTTGTGTGCCTGAGCCTTCGTACTTCCTCCTGAGTTGAAAGGAGGCCAGAGTTTCCACTTCCATATGGTGAACAGGTCCCACTGCCATTATTGGAATCAGGGTGAGAAGACGGAGATGGGTGGCCAAAGGAATGGAAGTATCCAGCGCATACCCAAATCTTGTCAAGCTTCACTGTGGGCCTTGAATGGCCCTTTCTGCGAGGAGCTGCTTAAACCCAGACACAGGTGGGGATGCTATGACTCCTCCCACTCAGTTTCTCTCCCCTGGGCCTCTTCCTGCAGCCCCCCACTAACTTTCCACGGGTATTTAATAGGCACCCAATACTCTTGCCATGTATCATGCTGGGATTCAAACGCAGCTGACCGGACCAGGCCAACGCTGTCTGGAGAGGGCTTCCGAGGGCAATGCTGAGAGCCTGGAAACACTACCCAGCGCTGGGCTAGCATTGCTCTAGTGATGCCCAGCACAGGCTGTGTTACTCTAGCTGAGGGCATAGCTAAAGACACCTCCAGGTGGAGCTGGCGTGGAAGACGACTCAAAGATGAACGGATGAGCAGGCAAGCAGAGACGACGCTGTGAAGCCCCACTTCCTGTTTTGTTCAGGAGTGGACAAGTAATTTTATCACCAGAGCGTCCACATGAGGCAGACTGTTGGGAAAGTCGTGGCAGTGCTGAAGATAATAGAAAAATCTGCTGAGTATATCCTGGGCTAGGCTCGTAGAGCCCCTGCATTTTTACCCTGTGGTCGGACTTAGCAATTTCTATTCCCGCGTCCCCAGAAGGTCACCCACCAGAAACAGGCAGCCCAGGGATTTGCCTTGCACCCTTGTGACAGCCCAAGCGGGTACTGAATGGGGGTCCTAGCAGCATGAGGGGGTTCTGAAAACTAAATTATCACTGTAGCAAAAGCCCACAAATGTAAGCCAGATCGAATAGGGGAAACCTAAATACGGTGTCTGCTGGCTAAATGAGAAGACTTCAATGGGATTAGCGCCTCCTGACATAATAATAAAAATTTCCCCAAATGCAATAAAGAAAAATCACTTGTTATACAATGAGCCAGAAATAGCTCTTTTGTCTTGAGGAGAGTGGTCCAACTGATGCCCTCGGAGATCTCTGAGACAATAAAGCAGATAGAACATTAATACTGTAAGAGTTCCAGAAAAAGAGAGGGGAGGGTGAGGAATTTAAAAATATTAAAAAAAAAAGAATAGCTTTAAAAAAAAATCTCCAAGAGGCTTGAGAGATGGCTTGGAGCTTGTAAGTGTGTACTGTTCTTGTAGATGACCCAAATTTATTTCCCAGCACCCACACTGGGTGGCTCACAAATAGTACAAGAAGCTTTCATGCCAATAATGATTGTATACAGAGCAGTCATCTCCGTTACACTTTTAGTCTGTATGGAGCATCCAGGGTGTAAATTGACCTTGCTCCCTTGAAGGCAGAGCACAGCAGGATCAGGAGCTCTGTGACAGCCCCCGGAGCTGCGATGCCTCTGGCCTATGTGGGTACCACACTTACATGCATAATCCCACTTCATAATACATACATACGTAAACATAATTTAAAATAATAAAATTTAAAAATCCTCACATTTGCAGAAACTACAAAAACTGCAACTCAAGAAGCTGAGAAAAACCCCAATTAGGTCAAAAAAAAAATCTGTGAAAATCATAGCTAGATACATTGTATGCAAATTTTTGAAAATTAAAGAAACAAAACGAACCCCCTAAGAGCAGTCAAAGAGAAATGGCATATTACAGTATCCATTAAAGAATTTCAATTTGGGTGGCAGCCACTTCTCATCTGAAACCACAGAGACAGAAGGAAGCGGCCCAACTTACTTGGGGTGTTGAAAGAAATGAATCTCCCGTCATAACTCACATCTGGTGGGAACATCTACTCTGGGCTGATGGAGAACTGTGAGATTCTGTTTCTGGGAGTCTCATCTTTAAAGGGCGCTAATGGAAGTTTACGACTCAAAAGAAACGGTAACAGAAACTCAAACCCTGAACATGGAAGTCATCAGAGAAGACCATTCTTAACTCCCCAAGTTCTCAAATCATGTGTTACAGTTTAAGAAGCTTTCATGCCAGTAATGATTGGATACAGAAGAGCCATCTCCGTTACACTTTTAGTATGTATGGAGCATACAGGGTGTAAATTGACATCAGGCTTGGTCCCTTGAAGTCAGAGCACATCAGGATCAGGAGCCGTGATAAATGACAACTTTGCATATGGAGAGCCCCTAGAACAAGCATTCAGAAAACCACACGAAGTGCTACAGTAAAAAGTGAAATGAAGAGTTACAGTGGAACACTGAAAGTACCCAAAGGACCCACAAGAAGGCAAGAGAAATAATGAAACCAAGGATTCCACAATAAGCGAATAACCAAATGGTAGACATTAGCCTTAGATATCAATAATACAAACACACGGTCTTACTACTCCATTACTTGACAGGGATCGGAGAACTTACAAAATCTTGAGCAGATCCCTTAACATCTATTTAAAAAAAAAAGCCACTTCAGATACAGCAACACGGCTAAACTGGAGATCAAAGGATGAAAGTGATACATTGTCATAATAGTCTTTTAAGCAGGAATGGCAATGTTAACCGCACACTTTAAGTTTGGGGGGTGGGGTTATTGCTTTTTGTTTGGAGCTTTATTTTTGCTTTTGAGACTAGGTCTTGCTAGTAGATAAGAAGGCTTTCAACTCATTATCCTCCTGCCTCTACCTCCTAAGTTCTGGGGTTTGTTTGCATGTCCTGCAAAGCCTGATTCACTCTATGCTTTAGAGTAGTGAAAATTACTAGGGACCAATGAGCACATTAAATAATGACAGAAGACTCGGCTACAAAGATACCAACTCTAAATATATAAGCACCAAACAATAGAGTTTCAAAACACACAAAGCAAAATTTGATGAAGTTGATAAAGAAAAAATAGGAAAGTGACCAATAATGGTTATTTTCTTTAACAGCCAGAACTGTGGGAGCTATTTTCTATAAATTTCAGTGTTTTGCTAAATTTTCCATAATTTCTAGTAAATTTTCCATTTTAATGAAACATTTTACAAATTTAAAAATAATTTAAATCATGCCAAGTTTGCCTTCAGTCATCATGGAATCAAAATTAATAACAGAAAGACAACTTGAAAATTACCACACACTTGGAAGTCAAATAATAGGTTTTAAATCATTGATGGTTCAAAAAAAATTTAAAACTAACTAGAAATTATGGAAAATTAAGTAAAACACTTAAATCTATGGAATGTGGCTACCACCATTCTGGTGGGGAAATCTGTGCCCATTAGTAGTTCATGCTGGAACAATGGAAACACCTCCAAATGCAAGCTGTATTCTTGACTAAAGAACCTTTAAAAAGAAGGGTAATGCCCACTCAGAGCAAGCAGAAATAAAGAAAAGATACAGGAGCAGAATCAGAGAGATTCAATAGTCCAGAGATAAAGAAAACTAACAACAACAGGGTGGCTGTTTTTAAAACTGAGGACAGTGATGCCTGCTATAATCTTGGCTCTTGGGAAGCTAATGGGAAGCTGGATTTGGGCCAACCTGGGCTATATAACAAGAGAAGAAGTCAGGCATGGTGGCATACAACTGTATTCCCAGCTAAAGAGACTGAGACAGGAAGACCGCAAGTTCAAGGCCAGCCTAGGCAACTTTGCAACCCTAACCCCAAACCGAAGATTCTAAAGGGCGAAGGATGGAGTTCACTGAGAACACTTGCTTGGCATGTTCCGATGTCCTGATTCAATTCCCAGTGTCACAAAACAAAACAAAAAATCAAAAATCTGAAGAACGTTCTAGAAAATACCAATCAGTGTTCTTCAAAAGTGTCAAGAACCTTCATGTCCAAGGAAGAATAAGAAGCTTTCTCCTACTGGGGGAGTCTAGGGAGATACTGCAGTTGGAAATGTTTAAGTGGAAAATCTGATGGGCTCTGACTAAACTGAACTACCATTCTGTTAACAGTACCAATGTGAGTAGAACAGAACCCACGGAGGGTCTCACCCAAAGAGAATGAATGTGTAATACCTCGGTAGACAGTAAGCGCTCCGTTAACAACAGACCTCCTATTCCTGGTAGTTTGTAAAAAGAAGAGAACGTTGGTGATACTGGAAACTTAACAAGTTGAGTATGGCCTTGACACTCTACCCAGGATAAGGTGGCCAATTACTTAAAAATATTATCTTTTTATTCAACGTACTTCCTTCTTTTTCCAACTTAAAAACAACCCCTAAAGAACTTGGGACGGTCCTGGGCCTGCTTAGATGAGTCCAGATTCAGTGAGTTCAGTATTGTCTGGTGCGGCTGCTGGGCAAATCTAGGACTTTATATTCAAGCAGTAAACTATTTTAAGCAACTTTTAAACAGCCCTGTCTCAGATACATAACTGTCTCTCAAATATCTGGAATGCCATATGGTTCTGGAGCATATTCAAGATTAACAGGAGCTCAAGGCAAGAGAAAATTCTAAAAGAAGAAAGTCCTTCCTGGTAGCCCATGTGACAAGAAACGACAGCTTTCCAGGTGTCCAGGAAAAACACAGACCTGAGAAATGACTTCACTGTCTCCCTGGGTTTTCCTTCTCACTCTTCTTGCTCTCAGCTTTAGATGCTCAGACTGTACTGTCTCCAGGAGTTCTGAACAAAGTTCAGTAGGAACAGCTGCGTGGCCCCTTGGAGCCTTTGAAATGCCGATTGACTGTCAGATGGAACAGATCTGAAGGCCTGAGCAACCAAAATATTATCTGCTGAAATCTGTTTTTAACATGAGCCTGCAACCTGAGCCCAGGACGGATTTGGAAAGAGAGCCACCTCGCCTTGTCCAAGGGTTATACACCCACAGATTCAACCAACTGTGGAATGATTACACATGCATGTGCACACGCACGTACACACACACACACACACACACACACACACATAGTACGATTAATAAAAATCCAGAGACAAAAACTGAAGGTCAGAAAAGCAAAACAGCCAGCCATGGGGTTTTACCTCTACCTCAGTCCAAAATGACAATTCTGCCTCCAAGAATCTCAGAATGAGACTTGTGAGTGAGAGCTATCTCCTCCCATTTTATAATCCTCTCTAGTGCTGGGATTAAAGATGGTGCACCACTACCGCCCAGTTTCTATGGCAAACTAGTGCGGTTACTGGGATTAAAGGTGTGTGTCACCACTGCCTGGTCTTTAAGGCTAATCAGTGCGGTTGTTTTACTCTCTGAACTTCAGGCGAGCTTTATTTATTAAATAAAGTATCACTACACACCCACATGCTCATTTACATAGGCTTGTGTACTTCTGATTGATTGTGTCTGGGCTTGGGGAGATGGCTCAATGGGTAAACCCCTTGCTATGTAAATGAGAAGTATCTGAGTTTGAATGCCCAGAACTCCTGTAAAAGCTGGGTGCAATCATGTGCATCTGTAATCCCAGCACTCACTCCTATGGTAAAATGAAAGGCAGAGAATTCCCAGAATCCAATGGGAAGCAGCAAATAACAAAGAGGCCTTGTCTAAAACAAAGTAGAAGATGCGGGCCAATGCACAAGGCTGTTCTCTGGCCTCCACAAGCTCATGTATGCCTGCATTCAAATGCACAATTTTACAGATACACACACATAACATACACACTATGTGTAAATTCACATACATAAAAGATTATCTGTTTGGACCTATACAGGCTTTTTCCCCATTTTTATTATTTAAATTATACAGTATAATACCCGTCACTTGCATTGGGAGCTGTGAGTTTGTGTGGAGATAATTTTTGGCACACGGGGTGGGGGTGTGTGGGCTCTCTGCGAATCTCACAGCATTTTATATTAGGGATTTGAGCATCTGTGGCTCTCATAGGATGTGGGGGAGGTCCTGGAACCAAGCTCCCATGGATACCAAGGGATGATGGCTATAAATAGATGTTTATCTAGATGTTAAGGTCTGACTAATGAGGTTGAATGCATGTGACCTTTGCAGCCAAATAACTGCCCATGTATAGACATGGCCTTTCTTGGAGCTCAATCCATTTCTCGACAACTCCTAGCCGATGAGTGAATCCACTACCATGAGACACTCTCAGACATCTCCCAGCCTAGATATTTTACCTTAATGTTTCTAATCCACGACTCAGCCTGTTCCAAATGATCTTCATTGATTTCAGCAAGTTTTTCCCGCCAAGCAGTTGCCTGACCATCAAACGCCACAAAATTGAATTTACGCTTGTATCTCAACTGTTCCTGGAAGAAACAATTATTATTTAGCCATAAAGCCACTCAAATGTCAGCAAAGCTGAAGTGAATCTCTGGGATATCCATTTTTAGCTCTAGAAGCTAGCTGAGAATTATGTGCAATTGAAAAAAAAAAAGAGTTTCTGCTGCAAAAGGCATTTGAGCCAAATTTATAGAGTTTGGATGTTTGGCCTCTACAGATGTTATATATGAATGTGTAGAGGACCGCAACCACATACTCCATTACAAGATGGCGCTGGTATCCGGTTTCACCGCCAGGTGAACAAGGTAACGAGTGTTTGGTAACTTTCAACTGCTGCGTCCCCGCCTACTCCCGAGGCATCATCTGGGATAATAGCCAACACACCAATCCAAGGGTGACACGTCCGAAGCAAGGACTGTTTCCTATATAAGGGATGGGTTCCCTCATTTAGGAGTCCCCGCCATGTAGGCTTATGCTGTCTCTCTCAAGAGGCATTAAAGCTTTTCCTGCAGAAGGATCCTAAGTGTCCCGCGTGGTTCTTGCGGGCGAGACGGTAGCGTGGGACATGAATGTACTGCTAGTATTATAGGCCACCCATGTATGTGTAGGTAAAATTGTACTGTAACATTTAATACTGACTTTAGTGCTGACACTAATGTAATGCTGATAAGCAGGCTAAATGCATAAAGAAATAATATTCAAAATGTCATCATTTTGGTCACTGCCTCTTAGGAAAGTCTCTTATTTGGTACAGACATATTTGCTTGCCTTTCATCAGCCTACACCCACCCCAGAAGCTGGTTATATTTTGTATTTCTTAAACACTCTACACTCACAGCACAACAGACTCATGACAATATTGTGAGACCTAGTTACTATGGAAACAGGATTCAGAAAGCAGCCTGCTTCCAAGAAAATGATTCAGGGGCAGCCCAGGTGAGTGGGGCAGAAACTGGGTGTCCCCATCACAGGCCTACCCTCTTCCCATCTGCAACTCTGGGACTGGTGCACACAGCTTCCCTAAGAGACATAGGAAATTAAATTAAAAATTCAAGATGATAAAAATCCGGGAAACAAAAGAGGTTTCTGTGTATCATAGGTTAGAGACAACTCCAGGCGAAAAGTATAGACACACACCTGAGTGACCCAGGGGTGATGGCGACATAAAGGACCCAATCAGAGGACAGGTCTGATTGCCAGAGAGCACTGAGAGAGTTCTAGAACAGCAGAGGGGGTGCATTTCTGGACTGGCTTTCTCAGGAACCCTTTAGTGCAGTGTGGCCCTACCCACTGCCCAGAGCCACTCCAGACAAGGACTACCGAAAGTGTGTTTATGGGACACCAGCCCAAGCACAAGCCCATGACACTCCCGCCTCACCCATATGAGCCGGATGATCTTATCCTTCACCAGGTCCAGTTTGCTCGTCATTGAGTGAGATGTATCAATGAGGATGTAGATGCAATCTCCACATACTTTCCCAAAGAGGACTCGACTCCCATCTTGCAGCCACTTAATCCTAGACAGGAAAGAGTATCAAAGTAAATAGAGTCTATGGACAAGATTGTCTTCACCGGAACACACGGCTACAGAACCAGAACTCTGCCACACTGTTTATACCTGATCTTTGATGAACGAATTCTTTACTTTCAGGTTTTAGTTTTTATTGTTGGTTTTTTGTTTGTTTTTCTGTACATAAAAACCCCTACATTTGAGGCTAGAGAAATGGCTCAGCACTGAAGATCATTTGCAGCTCTTGCAGAGGATTCAAATTTGGATCCCAGCATCCACATTAGGCAGCTCGCAATTACCCATAACTCCAGCTCAGGGGGACCCAATACTCTCTTCTGGCTCCTGAAGGCATTCTCATGGGCACACACGCAAACACACCACATACACACACACTAATAAAAGAAGAAATATTTTTCCCATAGCCACACTGATGAATATCTTGCATAGCATCATAGAACCTTCATCTGGCGATGGATGGAGATAGAGACAGAGACCCACATTGGAGCACTGGACTTAACTCCCAAGGTCCAAATGAGGAGCAGAAGGAGGGAGACATGAGCAAGGAAGTCAGGATCACGAGGGGTGCGTCCACCCACTGAGACGGTGGGACTGATCTAATGGGAGCTCACCAAGGCCAGCTGGACTGGGACTGATGGAGCATGAGATCAAACTGGACACTCTGAATGTGGCTGGCCATGAAGGCTGACTGAGAGGCCAGGGACAATGGCTCTGGGTTTTTACTCTACTGCATGGACTGACTTTGTGGGAGCCTGGTTTGTTTGTATGCTCACCTTTATAGACCTGGATGGAGGGAGGAGGACTTCCCACTGACTGCTCTTAAGACTAGAGAGGGAGGGGGAGGTGGGGAAGCGGAGAGAAAAGGGAGGCGGGGAGGAGGTGGAAATTTTTAATAAATAAAAAAAAGAAGAAGAAATATTTTTAAAAAGAAAATTTTGCATTTCAACTGCACTCTTATCAGGCCCCTCCCCTTCCCATAAAGTAAAACAAAACAAAGAAAATCAATATGACAGAAAAACAGATGCAAAGAAAGCCACGAGCAAATAGCTTCCAGATCTCTACTGTGTGGAGGCTCTCAGCTACGACTCAAGTGGTCCTGAAGGCAGCTCACTCCTGAAGCCTGTGGGAATGTAGACAGGACTGAACGACTCGGGGCCCTGAAACAACTAAGTACCAGGGGGTCGCATTGCAGGGCTGCTGCTGGGGTCAATACTCGAGAGTTCATCACAGGATGCATTGAAGCTCACGGCTTCAGGAAAAGCCTTGCAGTGAGAGCTGGAGAAAGAGGAGAGAGAAAACGTCTTATGGAATGGAGTTCAGCAAGTCTTAGGCTACTGGGATTTGTAGGGCAAAATGTCAACCGGCAGTTACTGTAGTGAAAGGTAGGGAGACTGGGAGGGATATGGAGCAGGTGTGGGACAGTCATACTCCAGGGTGCACTAGCGGTCTGGGTGAAGTGATGATCAGGGCATGTGTGTGAAGAAATTACAGAAGTCGAGGAGAAAAACCATCCAAGAGCGCTCACCGGAGCATACACACCTGAGAACAGCAGCTCATTTCCCCAGCAGTCAGGGCTGAGTGTCAAGTGGAATTCTCACAATGGTGTTACCTCGCTAGTAAAGTCAAGTCAGCCCTAGGATAAAGACTACTGTGGGCTTAATTAAACCTGTGTAACTTAAAATATGGCTTAGACTCAAATTGTCTCTAAGCCATTTAACTCACATTTTATATATATATATATATATATATATATATATATATATATATATAAATGCAATCAAGTCTATCACTCAACAGTGTAAATATTCAAAATGCCTGGAAATCCAGAAGAAAAGAGGAAATGACTCCCGGGCATACCAAGAAGCAGGAAAATATCCACAATTAGCGAAAATCTGATCAACAGAGCCTCAAGCAACCCAGACACTAGAATTAGCTGAAAAGGGTGCTATGCAGTCACTACAAATGTATTTCACGTGTCCAGGAACAGACCCAGAAGAGAAATGGAAGACGTAAAAAAGGTCATCAACACTGCAGAAGAGGAAGTGGAAAGGATGTCAGAGACAGCGAATGGAGAAGAGTTCTGAGAAACGCTGAGCCCTAGACAAGACAGTGTCGCTCTCGTGAACTCAAAGCAGCTGTGGTTACCTTCACACAATCTGCATAAAGCCAAGTCAGAAGAATCCAAGCAAGGGTGGGGCTGCGCTCCCGAGGCTCCAGGAGAGCACTTGCTGGGGAACTGTTGGCAGTTTATTGCAGCTGGGGTGGGGGACCTGCTCTTTTTGAGCGTGTTCTCACTGACAGGTTTCCTACGCTCCAGTGATGACCCCCTGCCCGTTCACATAGGGACAGTACTAACTGGTCTTAGTAGTGACAAAGAAGGAGAAGGAGAAGAGAGAAGAAGAGAATGAAGTCAATGATGAGGACAGTGGCATAAAGCATTGCCGTGTTAGGGGTTACAGGTGGAACTGGAGGGGGAAATTTCTATTTCCTTACACATATGTCATGAAATTCTTAAGTATAAATGCAAATTATAATAAATAATAAAATGTAAAAGACCCTAAGTGGAACGCCTAGAGAGACCTCTGAACTGGAAAGTCAATTATATAGCACTCATAGGAAGCGGGACAGCGAGAAAAAGATCAGAGATTTCTTATAGCACAGTAGTGAGAAACAATTCAAAGTGAAACAGAAAACTAGAAAGAAAGGGTCCTGGAACATACAAGAAATGTGTCTGCAATTAGGCTCTGCGACAGACAGGAAAGGGAGAAACAGAAAAGAGATTCAAAATAATTTTTCTATTTTGATGAAAACAGTCTGCCTACAGATTCAAGGAGATCAAAGAACCTATCAGAAGAGCAGAGAAGAAGCCATAGCAGAGTACATCACAAATTGGATGAAACCCAGTGATTAAAAGCAGCAAGGGACAAAAAAAAAAAAAAAAATCACAGTGCAGAGGAACACGTCTAAGAATAAAGGTATTCTTATCATAAACCATGTAGACCAGAATACACTAAAGATTTTAAAAAGAAACAACTGATAAAAATTTCTAACTAGAATTCTATGTTTAGCAAAAAGATCTTTAAAAAGGGGTGGATGAATTAAAGAGGTTTTCACTCTCACAACGCTAATACAATCCACTACTAACAGACTTCACAACAGATACTAACAAGGCTTTTCAGGTAGAAACGAAGGAGTGCCCAGTGGAAGTCTAGATTTACATAAAGAAGTAAAGAGTAATAGAAATAAGCATGAACAAACACAACATGCATTTATTCTAAGTGTTAGTCATTAGATTAGGGCATTAGACTATTTGTACTGCATTGCTGAATTCATAGGAGCTGCATATATAAAGTTCATGGTAACTATGAGAAAGACAGAGGGGGTGGACATTATAATATTATAATATACACAAAGTGGTATGATCTTGTCTGAAGGCAGACTGAGAGGTTAATATGTATAGCATAAATGTCAAATAGTCACATATAGCAGATAGGGCAAATGTGGCAACAGTGGACACAAAGAGAAGAAAGAAAAAGGCCACAGACAGGGACACAAAAGTTTAAAAGTGAGCAGAGAGAAGACAGAGCAAACAAAAAAAAAAAAGATAAGATGCCAGATTTAAATCTAAGCGAGTTAAATGTGAATCATCGTGGCACTACCATCACTGGTCCACATTCTGTCTCCAAGAAGCCCAGTTAATGATGAGCCAGGTAGGCACAGAGAAAAGGAGAAAGATGAACCCTGGAGACTGTGATGATGGCTAAGCTGGAGTCTCTAACTACTCAGAAACCAGAATAAGTACATTTCCTAATCAGGAATTTTAGCAGAGTTGAACAGGGCATTTCATATTATAAAGCAGCTGATCCACCAAGCAGATATAACATTCTGCCGTATACATGCACCAACTAACAGAATTCCAAAGTCGTAAGGAAAAGTTGATAGACCTGAAAGAGCCACCCAGAAACGACTCAGCGATTTCAACATTTTCTCAATAATTTATACAACAACTAAAGAAAAAAATCGGTATGGATGACTAGCCCAGTACATCCAACAAAATGAAATTTGATATGTAACTGACAGATACAGCCTACTTTCCAAGAAATGTTAATGTTGTACCGCAAAATCTTTCTACAGAGAAGGAAACTCCAGGCTTTAATGGTGAATTCTGCCAAACATCTAAGGTAGAGATGGCGCCAATTCTCAGAGTTCTGCAGGAAACAGAAGAGGAAAATAGCTCCTAACCATTCTCGATACCCGGAAGGTAAGGGACAAAGGGACCCAGAGGCTGGGGTGCATTGCAAGCAGCATGTCCCCTACAAGACTAGAAACACAAACTAAAGAGTCATCTCTGAAGCCATGGCAAGGGAGACTCTCAACACAGAACAGCTTTCTGTGAGTAATCCATTACCATGTGGCCTTTGAGATGCAGGGGCTCTGGGTATAAATACTGGGCAGTTGGGTATCTGTTACATATGATTTTGTAGTGAAAGTGGCACAAGAATGGAGGGGATGCTCATTTTCAAATGGCTGAAGCAGGCTGCCACTGGCTTAAACCCATTAGGTTTAGCATCTGGCATAATCCACAGAGCAGGTTTACAAATGTCATCACTATTTCCACTTTATAACCAAGGAAACAAATGCAAAAAGACATTAGCTAACTTGCCCAGGGCCAAACAGCAAGTGGCAGAGCTGGGATTTTTCATTGTTTTTTAATTTCTTATTTTTCCAGTTCTCTGAGACCTCAGGGCCAGTATCACTAAATGAATTTGATCTCCATGGTCTAAAACTGTCTCCTGACATCTGATACCTGAGGGTGTTAATTTAAATTATCCACATGGAATCAACCCTGAGGTCATGGCATCAGTGCACCATACTCAATGAGCATGGCAGCTTGTAAGAGCAGAACAGGATAAAGACAGATAGGAGGTCATGTATTCGCATTGTTTTCTAAAATATATACAGCATCTGATTATTTTGCAATTTGTCACAGCTATGTAAGAGCTGCCTTGAGATGGAATAGTTCTGTAAGAGAGAGTATAGATGCAATATAGTCTATGATATACCCATGGCTCACAACTGCCCTCCCCAAGCATAGACAGAAGTACCCCTTAATCTCCTAATAGCCATCATTTCAAAATTGCTCCTTTGGAAGCTGAGGAGATGGTGCCATTGACAAAGTGCCTGTCACAAAAGCTTGAGGACCTCAGCTCTGATGCCCAGCACCCACATGAAAGCCAGGGGTAGTGGTACATATCTGTAGCCCCAGTCCCGGGGAGACAGGCAGCACTCTGGAGAGCATTAGCCAGCCATCCTAACTCATCACTGAACTCCAGGTACCATGGGAGACCTTGCCTCAAAAATTAAGATGGACATCAACCTTTGTCTCCCTTCCACATGCATACATGTACATATGTCCCCCCCACCATGCACACACAATAACAACTCTGTGTTCTGTTTCTGATGAATTCTGAATATCAGTATTTCTCTTTTATTAATAATATCATCAATAAACCATCAGACGGAATCTTTGACAATGATGTCTATTGGTCACTTCACTCAGTTGGGCTCACGCGGTATTGCACGAGACTAGCTCACTAGTGACCACATACAAACATACCAACCTCCTCTGGATCCTGGTCAGGGCTGTGTGAATTCTCTCCCTGTACCATCTGCACTTCTCCTTGGTAATGTTGACGTGGACCAAGCTCCCATCCTTCCAGGGAACGTGGATGAATCTGTTGCAGTATTTGGCATGGACTGTCTTCCTATTGGGGTCCTAAAGAAAGGACAAAATCACAGGTTCGAGCAGGTTCTCGGAGAGGGGGGAACCACGCCTCCTCATGTGGGTCTACAAAAATAACTAAAAACTGAATAAAGTCTGGTCATCTCTGTATTCATTTTGTATCTGTCTCCTCTGAAGCCATTACCTGGTAAACCTGCACATTGGGATGTGCCTGAACATGACATAGCAACGGCTAGCATTGCCCCTTCTGCAAGGATAGCGATAAGACCAACTGAAACATCTCACTGTGCAGAGTCCTGTTCCAGATCCCCCCTGATACCACCCAAAAAAGGCGCCTGAAGGTCTGTGGTAAACCTGCAATTCCTCCGGATTCCAGGAACAGTGGAGCCTCAAAGACACAGGACTCTATAATGAGATGCCCTCCCCCACACGGCAGCCATAACAATCTTACAGGAACCAGACCAATCTTCTCAACAATGGCAGTAACAACTTTAAACCTCACGGAACCAGAACTAAGACAAGATCAGCCAGATGGAGTTTGCCCAGAACAGCTGAAGTAGACAGCCCTTTCTCTTTGCCCCAGTTCTTCCTGTATTAAGACTATAGTTCAAGTCGGTACCCCAAAGACAGACTTTGGGGTCAATGAACCCCTTTGTCTACACAGCCGTGTTGATGAAATCATTTGCTCTTGCCTCTCTAAATGGAGTAATGGGATATGAAGGAGCCTGTTCTGTGAGGAATCCCAGGCTTTGGGCTTTGGGGCTAAAGCTGTAATAACAAGGCCACTCAGAAACCATGTAAGGAAGAAAAATAGCCAAGTAGCACTCCCATCTCTACTTGACTCGTACACCTCTTAGCACATATCTCCATTGAGAGATCATTCGCATCTAAACTCAACAAGCATGTGTTGGGGCCTGCTCTACAGACAGTCCTGTGATGGAGGCCACGGATAAGGTCAGAGGTACACATGTGATCCCATCTGTGTTTTGGAGAAGCCAGTGATGCCTGCAAGGGGAGGGGAGGAGAGGGGAAAGGAGAGAGAAAAAAAAAAGAGTAGGGAAGGGAGGTGAGAAAAGAAGGGGAGCAAAAAGAGATGGAAAGAGAAGGGGACAGGAGGGGAAAATGGAGAGGATAGGAAGGAAGGAAGGAAGGAAGGAAGGAAGGAAGGAAGGAAGGAAGGAAGGAAGGAAGGAAGGAAGGAGAGGGGAAAAGAGCTTTAGAAACTAAGAATTGATCCCTGAATTTAAAATTTCATACATCCCAACTTCCATGGAGAAGTGGGGATTTTGCATAATCAGAGTAGATTCTGAGCACATAGGTAAGGAAGTGAAGAGCTGGAGAAAGAGAATGGATCACATTCGTTGGAAGAGTTGGCCTTCAAGGAGAAACAGGACGAAGCAGATGAGGCACAGGCAGAGGCAGATACCAGTAGTCATTACTCCGTGGGAGTGGGAGACCGTGCACAGTAGGAAAAGGCCATCAAATGCCTGTGTGTAATCAAATATCATACAGTAGCCTAGGGAGACAGCTCAGCTGGTAAAATACCTCCTGCACAGCATGAAGACCTGAGTTCAGATCTTCAACCCTCATGGAAATAGCTGGGCATGGCAGCACAAAGGTAACCACAGTCTGGCTGGCGGAGGAGTGACAGAGACAGGCAGATCCTCAGCACCCTGGCCAGCCAGCCTAGCTAAATCAATGGGTGAGCTTCTGTCCTAGGAAGAGACCCTTTCTCAAAAGAAGAAATAAGATGGAGAGCCATCAAGAGCAGTGCATGACATTGACCTACACACATGCACATGCACACACATGCAGATACACACAATCATAAAATGCATGCTTATAAACTGATGGAAAGCTCTTGAAGACAACATTGAGTGTCTAAAGTAAAAGGGGGAAATGAATGAGTGAGAGAAAGATGAGTCCTGGCATGGAGCGTTAGATGGGAGCAAGGTCAACTCTTCCTGGGAACGGAAGCGTTAATTCAAAGTGAAACTGGGCACTGTGGCTGAGGGTTTGTCCCCAGATTTCTCCAGAACAATCAATGGTCATTCACAGGAAATGGCACAATGTTGGATTTCAATAGCTTTGGGGAAAGTCCTAGAAAAGTTATCTAAGTGGTATGGTTAGAAATGATTGTGTGGGCTATGTTTGCAGACCTTCATCATAACTAAGTCGAAGACACACCTACGGTGTGGAGGAGGAAGTCACTGGAAGAGGGGCTAAAGAAATGAAAGATCAGAGTGTGGTAAGGGTCATCCACGTGGGCCTGACATCCTGAAGAGTGAAAACAGGGGCTGGAGTTCGCAGTGGCAGGAGACAAACTCATCTTCGAGGACAGAAGCAGGTGAAGTGGCTCAGCATAGCCCAAGGAGGCCTGATGATTGGTAAGGCTCGTCAGGAAGCAGCAACAGGAGAAAAGGCTACCACCCACGTCAGGCCAACAGGTCCAAGAGAGAGAGTCCAGCCCAAGCACTCAAGGGTCACACAGGGACGAGAACCAGGAGACAGGTGGTGGGTCAGTGGTGAGCGACACGTTACCAGGCGGGGAGGAAGGAGCTGTCCTGCACCATGGTGCCTTTCCTCTCCTTCTCCACCACAACCCTGGGGCCGTCCCACAAAAGCATCCTTCCTGCCTATCTCTCAGTCCTGCAATATTTCCCTGGAAGTCTGAAGCACAGCCAAGTGAAGCAACAGCAGGCCACAAAGCCACGGGGAGGCAGGCTACCAGGCAGCAGCATGACAGAATGATTAGAGCGACATGGCAGCCCAGAGGGTCCCATTCACACCGGCCTCTGTCTGTCACAGGAGGATTTCCTACCAGCCGGGAGGCCCAGCAACTTCATCCCCTCCAGTGTAAAACTGAGCGCAAGCAGCTAAGGTATCTTGATGAGACAGAGCACAAAGCACTCCCCAGGCTGATTCTCTACTTGTGACGTCAGTGTCTGTGATAGAGAAAAGACCGCGTCTACTGGGCATCTCCTAACAGTTAAGCTCTGTGCTCAGACAGGCAGTTCCCAAGTTGGACCTGACAATGCCCAGTTTAAAGACAGAAAGAAGGAAGCTACTGGTAGTGAAATGAACCCTGCTCCTTGATCCATCTTGGAAATACTACACACCAAGGTCTTTCTAGTCATTCATCTCTCAGATGTGAACAACTACACCACATTAAATCAAAGTGTATATAGATAATCATATAGGGGATTCACCTTCTGGCTGCCAGGGAACCCTAAGAGTTGACCCATTTTATAGCTACAAAGTTCCCCTATGTAACACAACCTCAGGAGTAACCCAATTTGGGACCTATGGTCTGAAAGTATGAATAAGCAATGTTTCCCCACCACTGTCTACGAAAATTAATAGTTGGCATAATTCTCAACCTTCACCATACTGTTATGCGTTAGCACAAGAAACGTGAGCTAAGCTCCACATTTATAAGCCTCTTTCTTCAAACTGGCCCTTAAAATTTCATTGAAACTGCAAAGAAGGAAGACAGAGTTCAGCATTAGAGCTGGCCCAGAGTCTGCCACACTGTCAGAAGGTCACAGCGGGCTATGCCAAAATCGGCAAGGATGAATACTTGTAAATACCCAGGACTGAATATTTTCTAAGTGAAAATTTAGTTATGGATGACTTCCTGAAGATGACTGAATGATGTCTACAAAGCTAGAAAACTGTGCTCGGGAGGAAAGCCACTAATGAGATTTCCCCTGTGCGGCAGCAATTACTCTGCCTCCTAGGATACGGCAGGAAGCAAGCTTTTCGTCAATGCTGCATTTTTCTAATTCAATTTATGTATTTTCCTCCTGCAGTCCATCGTAAACACACAGGGGTAAGGAGGTAAAAGCACAACACAGCGGAACCTGAACAGCTAGAGGAAAACAGCCCGACCAGGGAGGGAGGTCAGGCAAGGAGCTGGGTGGTCAGCCAGCGTAGTTAGACAGCAGAGTGGGTAGGGTCCCCTCTGGTGGATCTACAAGCCTCTCAGTAATGGCCTTGACCCTGAATCACAACCTTTAAGGATATATGTATATGTATATGTATATGTATATGTATATGTATATGTATATGTATACACACACATACACACACACACACACACACACCAAACGACTCAGTATTTGAGCAAGGTATTGATCCTCCCACGTCTTCCATTTCTAACACACACACACACACACACACATACACACACACACACACACACACACATACACACACACACACACACACACACACAATTTTCTGCTTCACAATGTGACACTGCTTAGTCTCTCTGGGTGTATTAATAATTGATACTGAGTATTGTAGTCCCTGCTCTCCATCTACACATGACCATTTCCTAATGTGTAGCTGTTGGTCCTCCACCTTCACCCTCACCTGGATGTCTGCTATGGTTTGAATGTGGTTTGTCCCCATCGTACCGAGCGTTCGTCCCCAACAGGGCAGTGCCAGTAGGTGGTGCCTTTAAAAGCTGATTAACAGACACTCAGGTATTTCTGTTGGTGTGAGTTAGGTGGCTCAGAACTGGGATTCGTTACCCTAAGAGTGGACTGTTACAAACTAGGTCAGCTTTCCTGCCTGGGCTATTTTTCTTGTTGCTGTCACAAGGTACCCAGCAAACCCAAGTTAAGGGAGGAAGTGAGGTTTTGTCGTGGCCCATGGTTTGAGGGTACAGTTCATCATGGTGGGAAGGTCATGGCAGCAGGAACATGGGGCGGCTACTCAATGTCGCATTAGCAGGCAGGGAGAAGAGAGATGGGTGCCGGTGCTTGACTCACTCTCTCCTTTTCAATCAGTCTAGAACCCCAAGCCCTGGACTGGTGCTGCCCACATTTAGGGTAGATCTTCGCACCTCCCTTAGCCCAATCTAGAAACTCCTTCATAGGTAAGTCCAAAGGTTTTCTCCAGGTGATTCTAACTCACGTTGAGACCCATCAACCATTGCAGATCATACTTACCTCCCCTCTCTCTTGTCTCCCCTCCCCTCCCCTCTCATCCGTGACATAACTAACATAAAATTTTGGTACCCACCTCAGACCTAATGACTCAAATGCATGATGGGAGAGTTTAGAAAGCATTCAAACTGAGAATAATTTGGTCTTTGGGAGCCAGAGTCAGACACTGTGAGAAGTTGCATCCCCATGGACCCCATTTGGCACAATGGAACTATATCTCTCAGAGTCTGAAACACAGGCTCATCTGCTGCTAGAAGCCTTTGGAGACTCCGGTTTCATGTTTACTGGAAATCTACTACATGCTGCCAGGTGCTCACTGGAGTAATGCATCTTCAAGATGTTTGAGATTCAAGAGGACCACGGGGACACCTGGTTCTTACATGCTCACCAGCAGGGTCTCCCTTCTAATCAACATGGGAGAACACAGAGCCTCTCATCTGACATAATATTGAACAATTCAGAAACCTGTAAGACTTGAACTTCTATTGGCCCAGCTGGTAGCTTGGGTAAAACTCACTTCTATCTGCTGTTATAGCTTAAACACTTGAGTGTCTCTCCAAAAGGGCCTGTGGTGTAGGCACCCATGGTGGCGGTGCTGGGAGCAGGGAAATCACTAAGAGGTAAGGTCTACTGGAAGACCATGGGGACTGCTGGTGACAGGAAGTCGTGCTGGTCTTGCGGAATGAGATCTGGTTGCGGCACAATGAAGTCATCAGCACTTCAGCCTTCTGCCCATGGCTAGCTAGTTCTGCCCGTGGCTAGCTCGTTCTGCCTGTGGCTAGCTCGTTCTGCCCGTGGCTAGCTACTTCTGCCCATGGCTAGCTCGTTCTGCCCATAGTTATCTAGTTCTGCCCATGGCTAGTCCGTTCTGTCCGTGACTAGCTAGTTCTGTCCATGACTAGCTAGTTCTGCCCATGGCTAGTCCGTTCTGTCCGTGACTAGCTAGTTCTGCCCGTGGCTAGCTAGCTCTATCCATGGCTGCCCATGGCTTTCTGCTTCTCTGTAATACCACTAGGAGCTAGGGAACTGCAGCCGAGGCTAAATAGATGGTACCTACCTGGTATTAAGCCTCCAAAAATGTGAGCTAACTAAAGTTTTTCTTCATAAAGCACCTAGCATCAGGCATTCTGTTTTGGCCACTCATAACAGACTCTGATGTGTAGAAGTCATGCCCAGGCTTTGACTACTCTCGTGGGTACCATCTAGAGAAGAAGGCGGGAGGCAAAGGGACATCTGTTTCACGGAAACCCTGGATGATTCCCTTCCCTGCCATCTTTCAACATGGTCTTTCCCGCGGCTTCTGATCCAAGGGAGGCTTCCTGCTCCCCCACCCCCAAGCAAGAAGAGAAGGCCCTCAGCCCCACCAGCTTTCACCTACCGCACTGGTCTGCACAGACTCGTCTTCCGGTTTGGCTCTTATGTCAACGACTCCGTCAGCGTGGCGGAAGGAGCAGTCAGCAAGAACATCGTAAAAGGTCAGCTTCTGGGCCCCCAAGCCATATTTCTGGAGCCACTGCTGAGAATCCCAGATGTCTTCTGCGTTTTCTTTATTCTCAACAGACGCTGCTCCTGGAATCATAGTTCATCAGCCACTCATATTGCATGACCAGTTCCTCCAACACTCCCACCCTCATATTTACAGGTCTAGAACATTCCTGCTGCCAGACTATGGAGCCCAAGCATCTCTTCAGGAAGTATACTACAGCGGGACTCTTCATTTTACCTCATTTCCTCTGCTATATGTGTGAAATGGTCTCACACCAGAATGGCTCTGGCTGAGACCAGGACCACATGTCAAGAAAGCATTGAATACAGGGTCAGAAGCTTTGGGTTCAAGTCCTGGCTGTGCCCTCTACTACCTTAGGCAAGTAGCTCAAATGTGATTCACCCATTTGGCCATTCTGAGCTCCGGCAAATATCTCTATCTGCAGATGGAAGACGGTATCTGCTTGGCCTTCTTGGAGAATTTGATTTTGAATTTATGGAGAATTTATTCTATGCCGCCAGGTTATTAATATAATGTATTCATTCTATTGAGTATAGGAGGAGAGTGGGGTTTTCTTTTGACACACTGTTAACTAATCCAGGGACTGCTAATGCCTGAATTCCTATAGACATAGCTCATGGCTTAGGTATAGCTCATGTAAACTAGTGATATAATTTAGAAATGTCTTGAGAGCCGACCCAAAAGTTTATATGGTAGATATTTGGTCCCCAGGGTGGCAACAGGGTCCAAATGAGTATGGCTTCTCATAGTCAATTCTCAATATCAGTGGTTTCTAAACTCCAGCAACATGCATGGGGGTCGGGAGGTCTGAGGCGGAGGTCTGAGGTGGAGACCGGGGTTTTGCATGAATTATGTCTCCGTTCATTTTGTGTTGTTGTGGCAAGCACAGTGATTCAGCGAATCTAGTCACTTGAGCGTGCTTCACAAAAAGGGGATACAGAAGGAGGCTCATGCAGCCTGTAGGCAGGCAAGGTCAGACAACATGCAAAGGTCGCTAGGCCCTGTTGAGAGTGTGGCCCTCCGCTCTGTGGGCTCAGAAACCTCATCTGTCAGCGGAAGTGCCTGGCGCTCTATCTAGAATGTGTCATTCTCTCATCTCACGGGGTACACCCCTCAAGGAGAATGAGGTACATTCTCCTCTGCTGTCTTCCAGAGGTCAGCAGTACCAGTGTATCCCGTCTCCAGGAAGGACTGGTTCAAGGACCGTGCTGTGAGTACCTCAATCAGAGGCTGCTCAAACTTCTTGTGATGATGCATGAAACCGACACCCTTGCCCCTGTATACTTCAGATCATCGCTAGATCCGGTATAACACCCGACACAAGGCAATGCTTGCCAATGGTTGCCATACCGTACTGTTTAAAGAACACTGACAAAATCCCTGCGCATTGCTGGTACAGTGGCTATTTTTTTTCTTAAATATTTTTGATTCATAGTCGGTTCAGTCCTTAGAGCCTGAAACTACAAGGCACTGACTGTCATCAAAAGTTGCTCCTGGGGTTTGTCCTGCTTTGTTTTCCGTTGCTGTGAAAAACCCCTGAACTAACTGCAAGGGTTTATTTCAACTTACCATTTATAGTCCATCATCTAGAGAAGCCAACGCAGGAACCCGAGGTAGGAATTGAAGCAGAAGCCAGAGAGAAACACTGCCTCCAAGACTCACTCACCTTGCTTTCTTAGACAACCCAGGACCACGTGCTTAGGGGGTGGTACCGCCCACAGTGGGCTAAACTCTCCCACATCCATTATCAATTAAGAAAATCCCCCACCCCGAAACAAGCCCACAGGCAGATCTGATTAAGGCAATTCCTTTTTTGAGGTTCCCCTTTCCCAGGTGACTCTAGTTTGTATCCAGTTGTCAAAGGCTAGCCAGCACGGAGTTAGAGAGATGACTCCGTGGTTGACAGCATGTACTGTTCTTGCAGGGGACCCAAATATGGTTCCCAGCACCTGTATTGAGCAGGTCACATCTGCCTGTAAGTCCTGCTCTGAAGGTTCCAATGTCTTCTTCTGGTCTTTGAGGGCACCTAAACTCACACGCACGCATGCACACACGATTTTTTAATAAAAATAAATCTTTAAATAAAAGATTAAATTATGCTAGGCTTACCACATTTAAGGGGCTATATAATTAGACCAGGATCTGGGGAAATAAAACAGCTTGCAGCCAATTAGTCCTCGATAATGTGCAAAGAGGCTGCCTGTAAGTGTGTCAGCTGAGCTGCGTCCTCAGATTTTAAAACAATGCCTTGACAGAACTCACTCTGAAACCTACTGGAGTTGGAACTGATTAAAGCAGGCTTCTGCTTTCAAGCTTCAAGCCAATGTGGCATCAAAAGCCCCTCTGAGCAACATCCTGAATGGCAGCCGTTGGCATCCGTGTAAACCACAATGTCTTCCTACCCTTCTCAAGGAATTACAGCGGCTGCCTCCCAGAACATGCAGCCCCTTGAGCTTCCCCTGGGAGCTTGTGGCACCACTGTAAGCAGCTAAAAGATGTGGCTGTTTGTGGGGAGATCAGCATCCTTGGAGATGCCTTCCTATGACTCCCGCAGTCGTTGTTAATCACTCTCTGCATCTTGGGCTCCTCTTTATGTCCTCCTTATACAGCTGGTCCCTTTCCTCCTTTTCCCTGTTCAAATTCTTCATTCAATGATTTCCACAGCAACATGTATCCTTTTGCTCTGTTTGGGGGTCTACTTTCTTAAGGAAAAGATGAAGGTTCTTCATCAAGCGTTAAGTCCAAACATAGGAGAAAAAGAACTTTCTGGAAGCCATACAAACCAATTCTAGCAAGGGTTTTTAAAGAGTCTAAGATGAACCTTCACCTTCCAGCATCAGGCAGGACCAAGGGTGCAGCCACTTATGAACAGGAGCCAGGCTCCCAATTATCATCAAAAAGGGGGTGAAGACCCCTTCCAACCTGAGCCTCATAAAGGAAATCAGAGGCAGCCAAGCAACCAGAGCAGAGAGCTCAGGCGTGCCAGAGCTGGGGAAACGAGGGGAGAGTGAAGTGTTTTTCATATTCATCCACCGCTAATTACACCAATTAGTGGCTGAGCCTTGTTAGCCTGAGGAAGGGAAGGAGAAGGGCATCATCTGTTCATTAGCGTCGCTCACCGAGGGATCCTTTCCCAATTCTCCTGCAGTTATTTTAATTAAGAGTGTCGTATGAATTCTCACCTTCCGAGCCGTCGCTTACGGCAGAGGTGTGAGCTCACAGTGATTCTGATCACACGGCATCCACACCTCCACATGACAGATTGCTAAAGATGTTCTTGGAGTTCCGCGCGAGGGAAGCAGACCGTGGAGCACATTCACACTGTAGAATTTACATGCCTGGTCCTCTCTGTCCTACTGATCAGTCTCAAAACATTTTCCCCCCAGGCACGAAGCCATACTGAATAATGCTTTTGAAAACCATCATGGTATAACCAGGGGCACAATCAAAATGATATTGAGTACGGCTTATCAGCCCCCCCAACACCTTCTGACCCTCATATACACCTACCCTCAAAGTGAGATCCGTAAGGTACCGTTAAGGATTTACTACCTACCCCACACCAAGCTGTGCCCTCTATCCCCTCCACTGAAAGCTCCTCAGCTGCCACATAGTTTCTGCAATGCTAGGTCCGTGAGCTGTCCCTGAATGAAGGCACTCAGTTTCTAGAGATAAGGTCAATCTGATGGCTCTCCTGACAAAGGCCACATGCTCTGTCCCCCACTGAGTGTCAATTGTTGCTACTCAGAAAGAGGGCTCCTTAGGCAAAAGGCTGGAGAACCTAAACACTTGGGGATTATTGATGACTTTATTTTAAGATTTTTTTCTCCCAGAGCATGCGGCTTACCACAAACAAGACTCCCAATCCTACTATTTGGGAATCTGAAGTTATTTAGATTCAGAGTCTCTTTATCCAGGGAATTATGGAGGGCTTGTGGTCTATACACCAGAGCCTGATACACAACGGAAAGGGGGAGAGAGGGAAGAGAGAGGAAGGGAACAGAATTGAGGGCAGCCAGGAACAGAGGGAGACAGACTCTAGGAAATCCCAGTCTCTCTTGCTGGGCGACTCCCTCGGCAGTGAAGAGCACTTACTGATGAAGGGATGTGCCCAGGACCTCACTGGTACCAGGCGGGAGGATGGAGATTGAGGACAGAAACCCACTATCACTCCACAGAGGCTTCTCGGCAAAGATGGAGGTAAATACCCTTGGTGTCTTGGGCACTATGCGTGAGGCACTATTGAGGCCCGACGGGACGCACAGAGGGGCCTAGTGTGGAATATCAGATGTGTGCCTGAGTCCAAGTAGGAAGCTCTCAATCCTGCTCTGAAAGGAACATCAGGTAACTTGCAGGAGCCTGTTTGAAACTCTTAACTTCAAGGGAGAATAAAATGGAGTCCCAGGGAGTTCTAGGCCTGTTCTCCCTTGGAATACTATAAAGTGATTTTATTTATTTATTTACTTACTTACTTATTTTTACTTCCTTCTTGTTAATTCTGTAAAAAATCAAAGTATGATTTCCATTGCAGTGAAGGGCTCTGTCACTCACCCAATTTGTTTATTCCAACCCTCGGGTCACTAGTTCATAGGATTCCCCTGAGAGTGGAGAGGAGAGGAGGAGAGAGAGAAGAATGAGGTGGAAAAGAAGCCAGTTTGAAAAAGAAAGCAAAGTGCTAACAATGAAGAGAGCACAGGAAGGAACAAGGATCCTCACTTGGCTCACTTTCTCTTCTGCTTATCACTCTGAGAGCTGCATAGGAAATGGCTTCCAACACAGGCAGCACTGCAGCTGTGAGCGGGGCTGCTTCAGGAGGACATTAAACCATGACGCCCGCCACGGACTACTCAGCGGCGGGGAGCAACAGTTCAGCCCAGGGACAAACCCGCACAGGGTTAAGAAGAAAACATTATCAGGAGCCCAGACTGCAGAAGAATCACAGGCAGCGTGCTCCAACAAGCCTACATGCCATGGCCTTTTCAAGTGGGAACAGCTGAGGACCACTGAGGCCAGCACCAACCTGTACCTCCAACAGCAACTTTTAAAGCAACTGGGCTGGGAG